CCAAGACGCTCATTTAAACGCCATACTTTCCCCTGTGAAAAGAGGATGCCGCGCAGAAACCACCTCCCCCCACCCCAGGCTTGTGGAGCAGGTTTGACCTGTGTTCCCATCCCCCTCCTTGAGAGAATGACCTGCTCGCCCAGGAAGCCCAGGCATAGCCACCACTATGTGCTCCCACCCAGAACTGGGCATAGAAACTATTCCAGCCAATCAGAATAGCCTCACTACCCTGGCCATGGTGATTGGTTGAGAAACTGACATGTGACCCAAGCAAGACCAATCAGGATCTTCCCTAGAATTACTACTTTGAAGTCAGGGCACAGATGTTGTCTTTGCACTAGAAGCCACGTAGGTCTGGAGGCCATCTTCCTTGGTCGCAGGAGAATGGCAACAGAGCTCATCTGTAAGGTATTTGAAGTCCCTTTTCACTTCAGGGAGGTTGAGTTTTCGTCACTTGCAACCGAGAGCTCTTGATGAGGGAGGACAGGTAGTGGACCGTGGCCCTCGGCCTCCCTGTCCTGGGCCACCCTTGGCCCCTGGCACTCCTGGTGATCTCGGAGCCACCATTTTGCTGACGGCCAGAGGAGGGGCACAGCATGCATGTGTCGGTGGGTGATCCGCAAAACAGATGCCGAAGACAGGGTGAGCCGTGCGAGGGAGGATCCTGGGGGCTTTCCCTGTGAGTCCCGGGACGGGTACGGGAAAGATGGGGCAGGAGGAGCAGGGCAGAGGCTGGGACCACGATGCTGGGCTGACACCCGTGAAAGGCGAAGGGGAAGGAAACAGCACTGGGTAGAAAAAGCCTCAGACTGTGGTGCAGCCCCGCGAAGGCCAAGGCTGGCCCCCGGGGGCCTTGGGCACAGAGTACTCATGGGAAAGTGGCATGTGCAGCCTCAGCTGGAACGCCAGAGCAGGTCCTGCAGGCACACACAGCTCCCACGTTCTCTCCTGAAAGGGGATCCAAGTGGCTCCATGACAGATACGCTGCCCCAGTATCTCCTCACTATCATGAAAATCTACAAGGGTGCTTACAGCAAGATTCAAACCCCAGCCTCCTGCCGCTGGGGCCTGTGTCTTCAGTGCCAGCCTGCTTTCTGTTACAGATGGCAACATATACTGCCTGGTGGCAGCTGCCTGTGCTCTGTGTTCAGGATTCTGAGCCTGCTACCAGGCTCAGCAGGAAGATCCATGATTGATTGGTGATGTCTGTCCAGGGTAAGGAAGGGGTAAGTGTACATGTGTGTCAAGCGTTGGGCATGCCTGTAGTAGAAAGAAGAAATAAACATGTATGGAATAAATGAATTCTGAATGCCATGCCATCCTACTTAAATTAGGCAGCTCCCTTCGCCAAGTGAGTCCGTCCCCTGACCCTGAGACTCTCAAAATCCAGGTACAGCTGCCATTTGTTGAGGACCTAAAATATGGCAGGCATTTGTGCTAAGGCCCTTCAGTGTGGTGCCTCATCACCAAATGAGCACATCTTGTAACCTCCGTCTTATGATGAGCACACACTGGCCCCAGGAGGGGAGGGACCTGCCCAGGACCACACAGCCAATCCGACGCAGCCCTTCCCAGCTCGCTCCCCCCTTCCTTGAAGCCAGGAGCAGATTCTGTTATTTCTCAAAACCCAGTGCAGCCACTGGAGCAGGATTCAATTATTCATTTGCCAAGGAGACAGGAAGTGAATATTTGATCAGTCCTTGGAAAATCTTCTGGAAAGTCCCTGAGAAATGAAGCAGCCAAGTCCAGCAGCGAGGCCTGGGAGCATGGCGGCTGATCTCAGAGCCTCCGGCCCCACCCCTACCCAGCACCGTCCGTGGGCTGTGCACCCACTCCATGCTACACCAGGCCCCGTGCAAAGCCCTTGGTGTCCGTTCACTTACCTGAGCTCTTCCTGTGGGGAAGGGTTTTTCTCTCCATTTTAGAGGCCGACTCTGAGGCCCAGACAGAAGACCTCCTGGTGGGCACGCACACCGTGGGCCCCATTCACACAGGGCTATGAGTGTGTTGTTGGGCCATGTTGGTAGAGTGGAGTGCGAAGGCCAGGCCTGGGAGGGAGGGTGCAAATGACGTCACGAGGGGTCGGGGTGGATACTGTGAGGTCGCACGTCTCTGGGTCATTTCTATCCATTTCCTCTCTAGCTTGGGCCACCTGATTGCCTTTTGTAGGGCCCTGGACACACTCTCTTTTAAGGCTTAGAGTTCAGCAAGGAGTGACATAAAATAGGAAAAATACTTGGGATTCATTGAAGTAGCAAAGCAAGTTGATTTTTTTAAAGATTTATTTTTATTTATTTGAAAGGAAGAGATCCAGAGAGAGAGAGAGAGAGACAGAAAGGGAAAAAGAGATCTGCCATTCGCTGGTTCACTCCCCAAATGGCCGCAACAGTCGGGGCTAGGCCAGGCCGAAGCCAGGAGCCAGGAGTGTCCTCCAGGTGTCCCACGCGGGTGCAGGGATCCAAGCACTTGGGCCATCCTCCTTTCTCAGGCACGTTAGCAGGGAGTTGGATCAGAAGTGGAGCAGCAGGGACTCGAACCAGTGCCCAAACAGGATGACAGCACTGCAAGTGGCAGCTTACCCTTCCATGCCACAGCACCGGCCCCCGAAAGCCAGCTGATTAATAACATAATTCCTAGAATTGGAGAGCCTAGTCCGAGTCTGGCACCCGCACCGCACTGGTTCTCTGACATTGGGCAAGTCATGTAAAGTCTCTGTGCCCTGGTTTGTCAACTGTGAAAAAAGGACAACAATAAAATGTTCCTTGTGACTGTCCCCACTTCAGAAAAGTACCTGGCAGCTGGCTCGTGGCTCACTAGGCTAATCCTCCACCTGCAGCGTCGGCATCTCGGGTTCTAGTCCTGGTTGGGGCACCAGATTCTGTCCCAGTTGCTCCTCTTCCAGGCCAGCTCTCTGCTGTGGCCCAGGAAGGCAGTGGAGGATGGCCCAAGTGCTTGGGCCCTGTACCTGCATGGGAGACCAGGAGAAGCTCCTGGCTCCTGGCTTCAGATTGGTGTGGGGTGCCGGCCGTGGCAGCCATTTGGGGGGTAAACCAATGGAAGGAAGACCTTTCTCTCTGTCTCTCACGGTCTAACTCTGCCTGCCAAAAAAAGAGTACCTGGCAGATGCAGGTCTCCTTGGGGTGTCTGTCCTGATGTAGTTCCCGCAGTCTTCAAGGGGGTCCAAGTCACTCCTGCTGGCGAGACCCTGGAGCACTGCTTGCTCCAGCTCTTTCCAGAGTGTGAGCCTTCGGCTTTCTTGCTGATTTCTGGGAGCACTGACACCCTACCAGTTCATCCCTTCCCCTCACTCAGAACCACTTTCTGCCGCCTACAGCCCCAGAGCGCTGGCAGCCATGTTAATCCCGTCTCAGTGCCGCCTGGGACCCCGAAACCTCTGAGCCGTACTTGCTCGACTCCAGGGGAGCTCTGCTGCCAACATCATCACGTCTGTTCTCTCCTGAGCAGTGACCCCCAGACCGTCCAGACGTCTCCTGCCGGCTGCCGAGGGTTTATCTGACGGCAAATACACATCACCAGGCGGCTCCTCTGGCTGTGTGGTGTAACGGTCGCGGTCAGGGTCGGGGAATTATCAGCACCAAATTAATGACGAGCAAGTGAAGATCCAGGGGCAGGATGGAGCTTGTCCATCCAGACAGAGCAGCTCCCAGCTCAGCCGTGTTGGGTGGGAGGTGGGCTGCGGATGAGGCCACCTGCTGTACCGGGCCCTTTCACTTCTCTCATTCTTAATTTCTTTAACTTTAAACCTGTCTCAGACCCTTTGCCCATGCTGACCTCTCCCAGTGGAACTCTGTTTGCACCCCCCATACAGACCCAAACACAAATACCCACAGACACGCACACATGAATACATGCATGCATGCACACAGACACATGCACACAGACAGGTGCACATGCACACACACACAGACACGCACGCGCTTCACCTAATTCCTCCCCATCTCACATCTAGGCTTCTCACCCCCTTCCTGCACCGTCCACCCTAAGTTGACCCCCCCACCCCAGTTCCCAGCATCACATCTGTCCGTTGCCTTCTTAGTGGTGATCTCATTCAGTCACTTTTTTCTGTTTGTTTCTCGTCTGTGTCCCTCCCTGGACTGCACATGACCTGAGGGCAGGGCCTCTGTTCTGGCCCAGAGCTTAGCACCATGTTTGATAAATAAATGAAAGAATCCCTGAGTCATCCAACCAAGAAGTAGCCTGAGCCCTCGTCTTGGTCTGCTTGGGTGGTTATTATGAAATCCCTTCCCCAGAGACTTAGAAAATGGGGGCTCCCAGTCCTGGAGGTGTGAAGTCCAAAGTCACCATCAAGGGTCTGGTGGGGGCCCTGATTTCTGCTTCCCCCGCGGTGCCTTCGGGCTGGGTGCTCACCCGTGGAGGGAACCAGGACCAGCAGCCCACTGGGCCACTTCCCCAGGCCCAGGCTCTGCCCACAGCAGCTCTCCAGGTTAGGTGGCCTCGCACACATTCCTGGGACACGAACACTCAGACCACAGCGAGCACCAGCTGCTTTCTCAGTGTCGCTCCGAAACTGAGGCCCAGGAGCCACCGACGACTTGGCCAAGGTCACACAGCGCCTCACGGTGTCCCACAAGAACAGAAGTGGCAAACAGTCGGGCCCCGCTGGGCAGAGGCTCGCGGGTGCCCAGCACGTCTAAGTGGCAGGTCACCATCCTAGGGCACACAGGAGGACGCGGAGGCCCGGGGACCCTGCGAGTTGTTGGGGAGCGGATGAAGAGAGGGCAGCCAGGCGACCCGAGGCCCGCGGGCGCTGGCCCCAGCGGCGCGCTGCCCGGCGGGGCTGCGGGGCGGGGACGCGGGCGCCGCGGGAAGCAAACGCGGCGGGACCGGCTCGAGTTCCTCCTGGCAGCCGCGGGCCGGGGCCGGGCGGGGGCGCCTGGTTCTCATCACCCGCGGCGGCGGCGGCGGCGGGCGGGGCCGGGGCCCGGGCGCAGCACAAAGGGGCCGCTGTCGCGCCGAGCCCGGCCCGCCCCTGCGGCCGCCCCTCGGCTGGTGGCCGCCCCTTGTCCCCGCTCCTCGCTCTCGCGCTCTCCCCTCGGCTCCCGGCCGCTCCCTCGGAGACGAGGCCGGGGTCGGCGCCTGGGGCCCATTCGCTCCGCTTCGCACGCTCCGGGGCTAGACGGGGTCGGGGGCTGCGCCGGACGTAAGGACCCGCGGACCCACGAACCAGGCGCCCAGCAGAGGAGCCACCGCCGCCCTTGTCACCATGGTAACGCTAGCCGAGGCCAGGACCACCCCGTTCTGCCCCCTGTCGGCGGGGCACATCCTCCCGACGTGGCCAGGAGTCTGTGCGGCACCCTCACCCTAGCAGGGGTAGAGTCGGGGTCATGCACGGGCTCCTCTCTGGCCAGGTCGTCGCTGGGCCCCTGGTGCGTGCGGTGGATGGGGCGGGATGGGCCAACGAAGGCGCAGCGCGGCTCCTGGCCTGAATCCTGGCGCTGGGGGCTCCGTCACGACCTGCGGGGGTCTGCGTTCTAGACGCGGGCGGGGCTGGAGAGCAGGTTTGCGTAGCATCCCGCGCGGGGTCCGGGTAGATGCGAGTTAAAGCCTCCTTTTGCCTCGCCAGACAGCGCCGGGCGGGCGAAGAGCGCAGAGGCGCAAGCAGGGAGGAGGGAACCGTAACTTGGGATGGTTTTGTTTCAGCCTCGCCCGCCTGCAGGGCGGGCGGCTGGGGGACTCGGTGGGGAGGTGGCCCCGGCAGGGCGGCGAGGGGGGTGGCCTCCCCTTGGGCCTCGTGGACGACCCCTGAGACCGCCGGGGCGCTCTATGCAGAGGGTGCGTGGGCGCCAGGTGCGTGTCTGAGCCTGCACGTCCGGGCAGGCATCTGGGAACGAGGGAAGAAAGTAGCCTGTGTTTTCAAGGAATCCCAGCCCAGCTCCAGAGGGGCCCAAGAGTCCAGGCAGCTACACAGGAGCGATTTTCGGAATCCTAGGGGATTTGCACAGGACGGGGAAGACAGGCGGGGAGTTTAACCCCACGAGGACTTTGTGCGGGTTTCAGTGTGCCCACCCACCTGCAGAAGGCGGCTGTGCTGAGGGATATTCGTGCACACAGCTGCACGGTCCCACACGTGTGCCCTCTCCTACACACAGGCCTTGTCCACAGTGTGGGAGCTGCTAACACCTGGCCAGTCAGCGCCTGCGCACAGCACTGCGCTGTGAACCCAGGTGCCTGCATGCGCACACAGCCGAACCCGTGCACACACTGCCCCGGTGCCGGCTGGAAACAGTCGTCCCGGGCCAGAGGTCGTCCACCTCCCCCTGCAGACCAGGCCCCATGCTAGGTGGTTTACATGCGGGCGCTCACGGAGCACTGCCTGGAGCCACTGGTGTCTCCGCCCTCCAGATGGGGGGACCCAGCCTCTGGGAGCTCCACCGACTGCCCAAGTGCACCCCACCAGGAAGTCCAGATTAGCACAGCTTGGAGTCTGAGCCCGCACTTGGCTGTCACTACTAACCCTGCTGCCATGCGCTGCACAAAGAGGTGTGGGCTACACCTCTCCTGGGTTTGCATCTGACCCAGTTACCAATTCTCGAATCCAGAGCCCCCTCACTGGACCCCAGTTCCTCAAACCAAGCTCGGGCCCTGGGCTGCTCCGTCAAAGGCTGAGCGGCTCTCTCCCGAGTGGAAGTGACGGGTGGCTGTCCTTCCCTTCTCTGGCTTTAAATAGTAGTGGTTATCACCTGCCCACCTCGCTGGCCTTATCTCCGTGCTCCAGCCCCTCTGGCCTTGGTCTAGAGATGTGAGTGGTTCATACTCGCCCCTCCCCAGCCCCTGCAGGTGCTGCTCCTGCTGGCTGGCTCACTTCCTAATGAATTTCCAGTCATTCTGTAAATCTCCACCAAATGTCACCTCCTCGGGAAAGCCTTCCTGAATTTCCCCAACTCTCACTCTTGCATGCCGTGGCACTTGTCACAGTTGTAGCTTGTGGCATGACTTGATGAATGGCTGGCTGGTGTTTGGGGAAGCCCATCTCAGAGAATCTTATGGCAAAGGGATTGGAGGTTTATTCCTGTCCCGCGTTTCCCAAATGCCAGTGTCGTCAAAGTTTCCCAAATGCCAGCTTTCATGTGTCCACTCGCTGGGTAAAATCCTATAAGGAAATAATAAAACCTACTACTCAGTGTTTGCTCAACATTTTCTCTTTCAGTCAACTTACTTCATCCATGTAAAATGTATCTAAGTAGGAAGCTTGCTCTCACAACTGGAAAAATCAGAATGTGTTGTCACAAATGGCAGGCAGCTGGGTGAGCAGGAGCAGCGAAGGCCCCCGGTGCTGGTCGGCTCCGGCGGACGACTCCCAGCCTGGGCACTGCTTTCATTTTGCTAGAAGTAGTGACAGAGGGCCCAGGAGCTGTTGAGAAGCTGCCTGCCTGCTGGCACCAGGGGCATCAGAGGAGACAAGGGGTGGCCGGGGGGAGCTGGGGACAACTTCCTTGCTGTGGTTTCACACGATGGTCGTGGGAGCCCTCTGTGACCTCACCTAAGCTTTGAGAAGCACTGGTTGAGTCTAGTTCATTTCCTTCAACATTGCCATGGAGCCTATACCTCAAGCCCCTGCTGTGTGCCGGGCCCTGGCTAAGCGCTTGGTCCCAGCCGTGGGGGCCCGCGCTCTGTGGGGAGGCAGCTGCCTGTGCGGAGAGCCGGGCTGTGTGAAGGGAGTGGGAGCAGGCGCCTGGGCGCTCACATGTTGTGAAAAGCTCAGAGCAGAGCTGGCGGTGGGGCAGGGGCTCCGCAGGGTGTGGAGGAGCTCGTGCCATCCGGGTAGGGGTGTGGCGAGAGCAGGGACGTGGAGACGAGCACTGAGGTGGCGCTCCCCCCGCCGGGGCCCTCACCGCGGGTGCTAGACCGGGAGGCTCACCATGGCGCTCAGTGAGTCTTCCCTATTGCGCAGCTGTTCGTCCTGATGGCTAAGCAGGGGGCGATTTAAACGGCACAGATGCGTGATCAACAGAAAAGAAGCTTAGGTTGATGACGAATTGTCAAAAGGCCTGCTAAGTAAATAATAATGATATTATGATAATATCACAAGGCAGGATATGTGGACACAGCAAAAAATAAAGCCCCTGCCTGGGCACGAGAATGTCTGGGAAGCAAAAACCACGTGTTTGGAAGAAGCAGGCAAGGTCAGCTGTGAGTTGGCCACAGGGCCGCGTAGCAGCAGGGAGTCTCTAAGGCTTGCCAAGCAGTGGAGGGTGGCAGCTTGATCTGTGTGTTGCAGAGGAGCTGGGCCCAGGGAAGAGGCAGGAGAGCAAGTTCACCCCCAGCTCTGCTGCCAACTAGCGGGAAAACTGGCTCAGTTTCTTAACCTGTGAAATGGGAATATACATACTCAGCCCATCGAGTTGCTGGGACGATAAACAGTGGCCGCGGAGTGCGGAAGACTTGCTCTGGGTGTCGTCGTGGTCATGTGGCTGGGGTGGGAGGTGGTGAGCCCAGGGAAGAGGCAAGGCAGCAATACAACACAGGCCACACAGGAGACACACGGCAGAGCTGGCCTCCACTGTGGGCGCGCTGATGCCCACTTGCTCCTCGGCTCGCTGCGTCTGAGCTGCATTTCCAGTTTCTGAAAGGTTCATTTAATCAGAAGCCAGGTCTCACTCCCACCACCACCTCCGCAAAAACCCAAAGGACTTGGAGCAGCAGAGGCTGTAGCTGGACGTGAGCAAGAACTTCCTGGCAGGCAGGGTGATGTGCCTTTAGAATTAGGCTGCAGGAGTCCGAGCCTGGAGGTGACCGCCTGACCCTCGCCGGGCTGGGTCTGGCTCACAGGCGTCTTTGGTTTGGCAAACCTTTAAAAACAACCTGGAGCTCTTACTACAAGCCCTGCAGGTCTGGGATCTGGCAGTGTTAGGCAGAGCAATCCTTGACTGATGGCGACGAGCTGGGATGTGTGCCGCAGGCCCCGCTGTGCCCTGACGCGGAGGCTGGCCGTCAGGGGTCTCACCCCGAGGGGCCGCTTTCTCACACCTGGTCCTCTCCCAATTTGGCATCTCCCGAAGGAGTTCTTTTCTTTCTGTGGCTGCTGGTCTAGTCTCTCTCTGGGCCCGGGCAGGGAAAGGCACAAGACGTGTCTATTTAAACTTTCTCACCAAGTGACCACAAGCCTGATCCCACCTGGTAGCTACCTACCAGCTCCAGACCTTCCTGGACCTGATTATACTTTGAATTCTAGCAAGCCCCTACTGGGAGGGCTCTCGGAGATAGCTGTGCCCAGAATTTCCCTTTTACAGATGGGAAAACTGAGGCCAGCATCCTTCTGTGAACCAGAGGCCGAATCCCACCTTCCCCCGGCAGCGGGCAAGAGTGGCAGGCGGCTCCAGGACCCTGCCCACCTGGGCTTTTCTCAGTCTGCTCTCTTCCCACGTGAGGAGGTGGCTGGGGCTGAGCGATACAGTCTGTGCCTGCTGGAGCTGGCGGCCAAGTGTGGACCTTTCGGAAAAGCCCAGCCCACTGGCGAGAAGGCCCGGCCAGCAACATCTGGGGAGACCATTTGAGAACCGAGCCAGCCTGAACAGCACACACAAGCGCACTTTTATTTTTCTTCCTCTGGGGTGGAAGCACTCACAAGCTGGTTACAGAACGTTTGGAAAATCCAGCGAACCATGGAGCGAATGAAAACGCTACCTTGCGAGGCCCCTGCCTCTCGCAGCCCCCGGGGGTGACTGTAGTTAACGCTTTATTTAAAGCCTCTTGGGCTTGGTCTAGACACGCATGTGCGTGTACTGTGGATCATACTGCATGGAAATTTTTCTTTTCAGACAATTACTGAAGAGTCCCAGGGTTTGGATATAAGTAAAGGCGGATCAGCCTGCACATTTTGTACTGCCTGATAAAAATAACACTTAGATTACACTAGGAACAGAGGCTCATTGAAGACACATTAAAATAGATGTAGGTGAGTCTTGCTCCCGCCCCGCCCAGGCAGAACGGTTCCGAGCACCTTGCTGTGTTCCAGGTCAACTGGGCAGGTCAGGTGCATCCCACAGGGGCAGCCGGGAGCCCGGTTCCGCCGCCCCCTCTTTCTGGGCTTCTGTCCTGGGTCGTGGGGCAGCGGCTGTGACCGTCTCGCCTTCTTCCTTTTCAGCTGCGCACCCAGCCTGGGCTCCCAGGAGGAGCTGTCAGCAGGGCCAGCCGGGATGCACTCCCTGGGAAGAAATGGAGACAAGTTGATTGAGGGTCGCGGAAATCACGTGGAGGGGCCCATGTCTGGCTGATGGTGCTGGGCTTCCTGCAGCCCCGGGCGGGGGATTTAGAAGGGGGCGCGGCCAGCATTCCCTGCTGCTGGCCCGTTCGCGGGCGCTTCCCCCAGCCCTTGGACAGCTTATGAGCCCCTGGGGTGCAGGCCTGGAGCAGGTCCTGCGCTGGCCAAGAGCCCTGTGAGTTTGGAACATTCTCCCTTTGAACTGGCTGCCCCGTAAATGGCTATGGCTGGTGGTGAGCAGAGCCAACACGTGAGAGCCAAGGGCGTCTCAGCTTGCGAGCCTTGCTCGTGAGAAGTAAACAGTTTCTTTAGGCACCGCTGAAAAGAGCAAAGGCTGGGCAGCTGGGCAGGCCACCCCCGAGGCTGGGGACTCTCGGCGGAGCAGGCAGCAGGAGCCTGGGGAAGGGGCGGACTTGGCCACTCCACATCTGCGCTGGATCCTGGCCCTGCCTTTCTCCTGGTCTCTGTGACCCCGGGCAAGATCAGCTTCCGTTTCTTTCTTTGTCAGATGAGGTGTCCCGATTTCACCGCTGGCATCGTCACGTGTGCCAAGCGAGGGCATGTGAGCAGGGCATGGCACGCCGTGGGCTCCTGGAAGCTGCTGGTGTTCCTGGGCTGTGAGTGGAGGATCAGCCAAGAGTTCGAGGGGAGGCCAGCTGCAGGCAGGGGCGCCGGGGAGAACCAGGGACAGCAGCAGTCACCGCCTGTGGCGCCGTGCACTGCTCCCGAGACCCCTGCACCCACCGTCTCCAGAACAATGATGATCTGAGCGAGGCAGGGTGGGAAGTGGAAGCCCCACCTCCCGATGGGGAGACTAAGGAAGAGAAAGCTGGGCAGCACACAGAGGTACCACAGACGGGAACTCGGGTCCCAGGAGCGAGCCGCCTCTGGGGAGGAGACGGTCCGGTGCCTTTCCGTAGTGCACAGCACTCCCTCTCTGGGAGGAGGAAAGAGCTCCTTCCCCGCCCTTCTGGAGGAGGGCAGAGGCCCCCAGAGCTCCTGCTCTGTTTTATTCTAAGATTTGAGTATTTAAAAAATATTGTTTGTCTTTTATTTGAAAGGCAGAGACAGAGAGAGAGGGAGAGGGAGAGAGAGATCTCCCATCTGCTGGTTCACTCCTCAAACGACTGCAATGGCCAGGGTTGGTCCAGGCCAAAGCCAGGAGCCAGGAGCTTCTTCTGGGTCTCCCATGTGGGTGCAGGGCCCCAAGGACTTGGGCCATCTTCTACTGCTTTCCCGGTGCATCAGCAGGGAGCTGGATCGGAGGTGGAGCAGGCTGGGACTGGAACCAGCGCCATATGGGATGCTGGCATCACAGGCAGTGGCTTTTACCTGCCACACCACAGCACCAGTACCCTCTCTCACTTATTTATTTGAAAGGCAGAGAGACAGAGACAGAGAGATCTTCCACCCACTCATTTATTCTCCAGATGCCCACAATAGCAGGGACGGGGTCAGACAGAAACCAAGAGCCTGGAACTCCATCTGAGTCTCCCCTGGCGGCAGGGGTCTAAGTACTTGAGCTATGACCAACTGCCTCCTGGATTGTACCTTAGCTGGAAGCTGGCATGAGAGGTGGAGGTGAGAGAATCCAGGCACCTGTAGAGAACGGAGACGTCCCTGGCAGTGTCTGAACTGCTGTACCAAACTCTCGGCGGACACTGGTGAGTGCAGAGGGCCCACTGTGGAGTCTGGCGTAACCGCCCTGTCTGGGGGTCAGCTGATCCGCCACCTCCGGCCCCCATGCAGGGGGAGCACAGAGACCGGGCAGCCCTGCGGTCTGTTCTGCTGGCTGCACCTGCCCTCCGGGAGCCAGACATCAGTGCCGGAACAGCTATGAGAGGGGTACTGGGGCCGGTGCTGTGGCGTTGTGGGCTACGCCTCTGCCTTTGGCACCAGCATCCCATATGGGCACTTGTTCTAGTCCCAGCTGCTCCTCTTCCGATCCAGCTCTCTGCTATGGCCTGGGAAAGCAGGCCCCTTCACTCATATGGGAGACCTGGAAGAAGCTCCTGGCTCCTGACTTTGGATCAGCTCGGCTCCAGCCATTGCGGCCATCTGGGGAGTGAACCAGCAGATGGAAGACCCCTCTCTCTGTCTCTCCCTCTCTCTGTCTGTAACTATGCCTCTTAAAAAAATAAATAAAATATTAAAAGAGAGAGAGAGAGAGAGAGGTTCTAAGGAGGCCAGGAAAGGGGGCACTGACCTTGCTGGGGTAGGGCCGGTGAGAAGTCAGAGAAACCCCCTGCGAGGCGAAGGTGGGCCTGAGTCAGCCAGGGGAGGTCGCGCTGGACACGCTGGTCACTGGTCCTAGTGGAAGGAAGACCAGAGGCTGCAACCAAAGAACAGGTGATTCCATGCAAAGAGGGAGGGGGTTGGGTTGCAGTGGGGGCCAGGGAGTGCAGCAGCAAGGCGGGGCGGGGAAGGGGGGTGGGCTTCCAGAGCACAGCAGACCCGACTACTTGGCTGATCTGAGGGTGGGCCGGGAGGCAGCAGCAGGGCCCTGCAAGTCTGAAGGAGTGGTGGGGCCATCCCTGAAGCAGTGATGGGGAGGAGGGGCTTGGGAAGTGGCTGAGTCGGGTTCCATGTCTCCCTGGGCTGTGCCTGGGACACAGCTGGGGAGGCATCCGAGGGCTTGGATTTTGTGTCTGTCGTGAGCACTGTGCCCAATGCACCCCAAACTCAGCAGAAGACACCCACCACGGTCCTCACCCACACATCTGCCTGTGCCCTGGGATGGGGTGAGCCAGGCTGGATCTGCCTGGTGGCTCAGCTTTGAGCTACAGGCCTGTAGGGCAGCCAGGTGGTGGCAGTGGACCCTGACCTGAATCCTCTCCTTGTTCCTCCACTTGACCTTGGGCCAAAGAATGACATTTGAGCAAAGAGCAGCAGGGTGTGAGGGAAAGAACACTGTGGGGGGGGGGCAGTGCAAAGGCTCAGGGGTGGGACTGGGCCCGGGGGGGTTGAGGAGCAGGAAGGAGGGGCCATCGTGGATGCAGGGGTGAGGAGGGGAATGGAGAGGAGGTCAGAGAGTGACACAGGAAGTGGCCACACCCCTACTACTGTTGCCGCTGATACTCTACCTCCTCTCCTCCTGCCCACACAGGACCCTCCGTCCCTGGACACAGCCATCCAGCATGCCCTGGCGGGCCTCTACCCGCCTTTCGAGGCCACCGCGCCCACCGTCCTGGCTCAGGTGTTCCGGCTCCTGGACTCCGACTTCGGGGGCGATGGACTGAGCTTCCTGCTGGACTTCCTGATCCCTGCCAAGCGCCTGTGTGAGCAAGTGCGCGAGGCAGCCTGTGTAAGTGTGGAGGGACGTGGGGTCGGGGGTGAGCTCTCCTCCCAGAAAGCCATGGGCCTGGAGGCAAGCAGAGAGCGGGGTGGGCTGATATGTGTTGCCTGGGAAGAACTGGGGCCATTCAGAGGTTTTCCAAGAATGCTTGCTTGTCCAAAGCAAGATGTCACCCCTCCCCCATCCCAGATGGAGCAGGAGAGCCACATGGGAGAAGTCAATGACCTTCGCACTTTGACCAGCAGGGAGGAAAGCCTGAGTAGAGGCATCCTTGGGTGTCCTAGCCCTGAGGAACCAGCCCCGAGGCTGGCACTGTGGGCATCACCAGGCTGCCTTAGCTGAAGTGGGCAGCCTCAGTGGCAACAGCAGGAAGTGGCCCAGAGCTTCCCGGAGGCCCCAGCACTGTTGCAGCTCTCCCTGGACATGCCTTCCAACCCAGATCTCCGGGGGCTTCTCCTGCCGCAAAGCAGAGAGGATCACACTTCAGAGCAGGTAGAAAAATCTCAAGGAAGGATCTTGATTGGTCAGGCTTGGCTCATCTGTCCATTCCTACACCAATCACTGGAGCCAGAGGAACAAGGTCCAGGGCTGGCCAGGCTTGAGTCTGCCTCTGTGGTTGGAGGGTGGAGATATTTTTTACTTATTTATTTGAAAGGCTGAATGACAAAGAGAAGAGGGATAAAGAGAGAGATCTTCCATCCACTGGTTCACTTCCCAAATGGCTGCAATGCCAGGAGCCAGGAACTCTATCCGGGTCTCCCACATGGGTGGCAGGGGTCCAAGTACTTGGGCCATCTTCTGCTTCTTTTCTGGGCACACTAGCAGGGAGCTGGATCAGAAGCAGAGCAGCCAGGACTCGAACCGGTGCTCATACGGGCTGCCGGCGTCACAAGCAGGAGCTCCACCTGCTGCGTAGGGTGCCAGCGCCCAGGATGGAGCTTTCCAAAGCCAAGCATGGAGAGGGGCCCAAGGAGCCAGCCCACCCTTCGCAGGCGTGGCCCACTGTTTTCTGATCTGTTATTATTCAGCACCCACCCCCTGCCACCCCAGCCTTGGGGCCCCACAGAGGTTCCTGGGCCCTGCCCAGCGTTGCTGCCTCCCTGGCAGTCACCCAGAACAGTGTCAGGACGCAGGCTGCGTGCGTCAGCGGGAGAAGGAAATTGCAGGCGGCAATTAGAGGGCAGGGGCCAGAACTGGAGATGGCTGGAGGCAGAGGGGAAGAGAGATCACTTGTTCCCCGTGTGGAGCACAGAGCCTGGCAGGTCGACATTACGCAGCGCGCAGGGACTGGAGCTGCGGCGCCGCATCTGCCGCCAGCTCCCCACGTCCACGCTGACATTCCATGCTGCTCCAGGACGAGCTCCTCAACTGCCCACTTCCTCTGCTTGGCCACGGAAACCACGCTTAACACTGACCGCCTCCTCGTTTTCCTCCGGAACGGGGTCACAGCTTTCCCGCAGCCTCATTTCTCGTTGTAGGTGAACGCAGCTGGGTTGTATTTCCAGGCAAATCCGTGCCAGCTCAGAGCAGGAGGCAGTCACGCGGGATTAACAGCGTGTGTCCTCTGCACTCAGGGGCCCCAGGTTCAAATCCGGGCTCCCTCATAGCCAGCCTGGGGGATGCATTTCACCTCTCTGAACATCTGTGTCACATGGGGGTCGCGACACAGCAGTGAACACAGAGCTGGCCCTCACGGCTCAGCCCAGAGCCTGGCAGACAGCGGGAGCCAAGAGTTGTTGCTAGTGTCGTCGCACTTCCTCACTTCTCCCTCTGAGATCAGAATGGGCCGGCCTCCCTGGCTGCCCGTCACCACGCACCGGTGGCCACCTGCCTGTGAAGTCTAGCAGGGCTCGGGGACAGATGGCAGTCTCCCTCGGCCACGTTTGCCGTGTGACCGAGCCAGTGGCTTTCCCTCTCTGAGCTGCAGTTTCTCACCTAAAGTGAGAATTGCAAAGCCAGCCCTGCCTGTGCCAGCGAGTTACCGTGAGAGTCCAATCAGATGAGCCAGCCTGTCATCCGCCGTGCTCTGCTGGCCTGGCCTTGACCCATCACCCACGTGGCTGGCCTGGCCCTGGCCTGTCCAGGATTCTCTCTGGGATGGGTGGAGTCTTCTAGGGTCGGCTTGTGTGACGCCACCCCCTGTCTCCGCAGGCCCCCTATGCACACCGCCTCTTCCTGCACCAGGGCTGGCCGCTCTGCCTGCGGGAGGGGGTTGTGCTCCACCTGGCACCGCTCAGCGCCCTCTGGTTACGCCCGGGGGACTTCTACCTCCAAGTCGAGCCCCAGGAGGAGCAATCCGCCTGCATCACCATCAAATGCCTCTCCTCAGACCTCCGCAGTGTGGACAAGAAGCCCGTCCCCGTGTCGTCCTACCCTGTGCTTTTCACCCAGGAGTGGCTGGAGGCCATCAACAGTGGCCTGGAAGGAAGTCCCCTCCAGAATTGCCTGGTGGCTTCAGAGAGTGGGATTGCACCTGTGTCCTGGGCCAAGATCGCCAGCCCAGAGTTTGTGGATGACGGGCCTTGTGCCCTGAGCGTCCTCAGCCCAGCTCGCGGGGCCCTCCGGCTGAGCAGCCCCCAAGAGCTGCACCGGGTCGGCTCCCCAAGCAGCCAGGTGCTTCTTGCCCAGGGTTTGGCCAAGGGCAAGGGCAGGACGCATGAGAACAAGTACCCGGGACTCATCAAGGTGGAGCAGGCCAGGCCCGGGGAGGCGGCCTTCAGGATGGACAGCGTGGTCAGCCGGGACTTGGAGGGAGACTACGTGGCTCTCCTGGGTTTTCCCCAAGCGAGCAGAGGAGAGTCTCCGGGGAGGGAGGTGGAGCCACACAGTGCGGGTGCTTTGGGGGCGCTAGCAGAGCTCCCTGGAGCTCAGGAAACTCCTCCCTCTCAAAGACTGCTGCCACTCTCAGGGGACAGTGGGGAACCTGCCTTGGAGCAGGCTTCTGCAAAGCCAGCAAGCTTCCAGGAGGAGCCCTGCTCTGGGGGCTTGAAGCGAAAGGTTGGGCACGATGCACCTGCCAGCGACTTGGAACAGCAGCCCCGAGAGCCTGACCTGGGCCGCGTCTCTGACCTCAGTGCTGGTGTCTTAGAAGATCCAGCCATCTCCCAGACACAGGGACTGCTGGGAAAGCCAGAGACCAGGGTCCAGCTCGGGCCCAGACCCAGACAGGCTTCATCCCCCTGCCCGTCCCCAGCCTCTCCTGTGGCTCCAGCCGCTGCAACAAAGGCAGAGGAGACCAAAGAGGGCAGCGGGAGACCCCCCAGGCCCGTGACCTGTCCTGGCGGAAACCCCTCTCCTTCTGCGTCCCCTGCTCCTGGGCTCCAGTCCTCCTTCTCGGAAGGGCAGAGGCTGTCCCCCACGCCTCCAGCAGGGGCCTCGCTCCAGCAGGACAAGCCTCAGAAAGTCTCCTGCCCACTGCACTCCCCCAGACCCTGCCGAGCTGAAGCCCCGGGGGAAGGTAAGGTGCCCTGTGCCCAGCTGGGCCAGGGGACAATTGTCAGGCTGACACCAGGCCTCAGGGTGGTTCTGGTTGTAAGGGATGGGGCCCCCCTGGGCTGGTGGTTTCAGGGTTTAGTGTGGTGTTAAGGAGCTGGAAGCCTTGTGGGTCTGGAATGGAACAAGGCACTGCCACTGTGTTACAAGTGCCCTAGCTCACATCTCCAGCTTCGTCACGCACTGGCTGGGTGGCCTTGGCCGTGGGCTTAACCTCTCTGAGCCCAGATCTCCCCGTCTGTGCGGTGTGGGATCTCGCCTACTTCGCATTGTTGTCTTCATGGCTCAAGAAGATTCCAGAAGTAAGGAGCCTGGCACACAGTAGGAGGCTGAGAGTGGGAACAGTCGTGAGCGGTTACCGCAGTCAGAGGGTGAAGAGAGAGCATGTGCCCTCAGGAAATCCAGCTTCTGCTCAACATCCTCGCCTTTGTTGTTGCTTTTCCCAGATGGGACAGCTCAGACCAAAACATCTGGCCCAGCCGCTGACTCAGGCCTCCGGGCTGGGGAGCAGACTGGCTTCCCAGAAGCCTCAGCCGGCCCCCCACAGAGAGGCCCCACCGCCCTGCAGGAGGAGCCCCCAGGGCCTGCACCGGGGATTGGGGCTCTGAGTGTCGAGATTCTCCACTCGAGGATAGCATGCCTGCCAGGTTCTGGGGACTGAAGGGGAAGGAGGGGGTGGAGAGCTGGGGGTGGGGGTGGGGGGTTCCTGAGCATCCTCAGATGCTGTGGGTGGAGGGAAGGCTTGTAAAGCCCCGGAAGCTCAGGTTCTGGATGAAGCCTCCCTGGGTCTCAGTTTCTTCATCTTTCCAAAGAAGGAGCTGGATTAGATGAAAGCAATTTCTAGGTATCCATCCATCTAGCTAGCTGGTCATCCATGCATCCATCCATCTCTCCATCCACCCATCCACCCATCTATCCATCCATCCATCCATCCATCTCTCCATCCACCCATCCACCCATCTATCCATCCATCCATCCATCCATTCACCCATCCATCCACCCATCCATCCACCTATCCATCCACCCACCCACCCATCCATCCATCCACCCATCCATCCATCCACCCATCCACCCATCCACCTATCCATCCACCCATCCATCCATCCACCCATCCACCCATCCATCCATCCACCTATCCATCCACCCACCCATCCATCCATCCATCCACCTATCCACCCACCCATCCATCCATCCATCCACCCATCCACCCATCCACCTATCCATCCATCCACCCATCCATCCATCCATCCATCCACCCATCCACCTATCCATCCATCCACCTATCCATCCGTCCATCTATCCACCCATCATCCATCCATCCGTCTGTCCGTCCGTCCATCCATCCATCCATCCATCTGTCCGTCCATCCATCCATCCATCCATCCAAATTTCAGAGAGGCAGCCAAGGTGGATGTAGGGTTCCCTAGAAAGAGCCTGAGACATGGATCATGGGGAGTGGTTTATTGGAGGAGGGTTCTCAGGAGAAGGGGAGGGGGAGCAGGCCAGGGCAGGGGAAGGATCTGGACAAGGCTGTGGGCTGGCCCTGGGCATGGACTGCTCCGCGGGGTGGGCTCCATCTTCAGGCGTAGGGGGCTGCATCTTGAGAACCTGTCTGCCAGTCATGAACTGGCCTGAAGCTGGACATGAGTTGTTAACTGCAGGCTGCGCTGGGAATGGAGGCGCAGGCAAGCCGTGACCCAGTCCAGCCGAGGGTTAGCACTGGGCTCAGGAACACATCTCATGCATTCTCTGCTCTCAGCGTGCCTACACTCAACAGCCTTTTACAGCAGATTGTTACAACCCAGTGTAAAAAAAAAATGTGACAACCAGGAAGTACAGGAGCTGTGGGAGCACGGAGGGGGCCCCTGGTCCAGGCTTGGGGTGGGGAGAAGTCAGGGAGGGCTTCCTGTTGGAAGTTGCATAAGCACAGTCCTATAGTCTGAGTAAGAGTTACCCAGGAAAAGAGCTGGGCACAGTGCTCCCGACAGAGGGAACGGCATATGCAAAGGTCTGGGGGGCAGAGAGACCACGGCACTTCTGGGCCACTGACTGCCCTGCAGCTCCCTTTTTCTTGCTAGACCGCTATACCTCTGCAGACCCTTGGCCGCTTTGTGCAGCTCCTGGGGGTACTGTCTGACCTCTTCCAGGTCATCTTTGTAGACACTCTCGCTTGTTCCTGTATCCATTGCACCCAAACTTGCGCCGAGCCTCTGAGGGCTCAGATTTCACCCACCAAAGGGCCCTGCTCCGTCTGCGAGGCCCAGCTCCCCACGAGCTGCCTGTGTGACTTGGGAGAAGGCAGTTGCCTTCTGCCGGCCTCAGGCTGCCTTTTGGGTAAGAGGCGAGCGGGGAGACGGGGGCGGGCTCACCAGCTCACTCTCCGGGATTGCTCTTGCCATTCCTGGGCATCGCCACGCACGCCGACGGGCCCCAAGCGCCTGGCGCACAGTCGGTGCCCAGTACTAAGTACTTGAACAGCCATACAGGGTCCATGTGGCTGCTCCTTCCGCTGCCATCTTTGAGACCTTGTTTGGAGGTGCCAGCAGGGGAGTGCAGCTACCTATATGCCTTGTATATATGTGATTTGTGGCAGAGTGGACAAGTGAGAAGAGAGAGAGAGAGACAGAGAAAGGTCTTCCTTTGCCGTTGGTTCACCCTCCAATGGCCGCCACGGCCGGCGCTGATCCCATGGGGTGCAGGGCCCAAGCACTTGGGCCATCCTCCACTGCACTCCCAGGCCACAGCAGAGAGCTGGCCTGGAAGAGGGGCAACTGGGAAAGAATCCGGCGCCCCGACCGGGACTAGAACCCGGTGTGCCGGCGCCGCAAGGTGGAGGATTAGCCTAGTGAGCCGCGGCGCCGGCTCCTATATGCCCTTGACCGCAAACCTGTCCACCTAGCGCTCAGCTTCGGGAGGGACGCACATGGGGCGGTGAGGGAGGAAGGAGACGCCCACCCTGCCAGCCAGATCAGCCGAATCAACCCTGGCGATCAGTGGGGTGACAGATGTCGCAGCCAGAGCGCCCTCACATCCCTGCCCCCATCTGTGACCTGGGGACCTCGGCCTTGCTCCTGGAGCTCCTCCTCCCGCCGCCCTCCCTCCCAGCTAGCTGCTCCCCTCCGGCCAAGCTGCGCCTTCAAGACTCCCGCTTGGCATTACTGCCGCGTCTCTTTCCAGCTAGGCCGCCACCCCGGATTTCATCATCTTCCCACCCCCAGAACGTGAGCTGATTGCCTCGCCGCCTTTCTCTCGCTCTCTCCATCCTGTACGCACCGTCCTCCTTCCCCGGGATCCCCCGGTTATAATCACTTCCTTTCCAACACCCTCCTCTCCCTCCCAGCATCACACTGACCTGGAGAAATCCCCACCTGTGCACCCACCCCCTCCCCGCATCCCCCGTACCTGGACCACACTGGAAGAATCCCCGGTCCCACTGACCAGCTGCATTCCTGAACACCAGTTCCCCGGGGTCTCAACAGCGCCCCTGAATCCGGCTGTACCTGCAGACTCCTGCGTGGCTGCCCGCTGCCCTGAGTGATGATGTCACACCTTCTCTCCCCAATGACCTTGACACCACCTCCCCCAGCACTGCCCTCCCTTCCAGTCTCCCTGAGCAAGTAGAAGCCTCTAGAAGGAAGTCTGTGACTCCTGCTGTCTACACCCGCTGGGAACTCCAGCCAGGCCTCCCACATGGGTTTCAGGGACCCAAGCACTTGAGCCATCACCTGCTGCCTCCCAGGGTGTGCATCCGCAGGAAGCTGGAATTGGAGCCGGGATGCCGGCTCAGGCACTCTGCTGTGGGATGTGGGCGTGTCCCAAGCAGCACCCTAACTGAGGCACTGAAGCCCCACCCCCGAATCTGCAACACGCTGTGCCCTGTGGGTGTGGGCACCTTGAGGGGCGAGGTGGACTGACCAGATGGAGACGGAAGGAAGGGCAGGCTGGGTGGAAGGAGTGGGGTGAACAAGGGGGAGGGGTGGGAGAGGGCCAGGCGTGCCCGGGGATGTGACAGGTGAGCAGCTCCGGCTGGGCCGCTGGTGGCAAGGGGAGCCACAGCGTGCCCGATTGTGTGGCTGCCAGAACACAGCCCCACCGCAGAAATGAATTTTCCCCCAGTTTGGAGGCTGAAGGTCAAGGTCCGGGTGTCAGCAGGTGACTCGCTGCTGGTGCAGCAGGCTTCTCCCTGAGTCTTCCCTCTCTGTCACCATCTCCTCTTCTCGTAAAGTCTCCCGTCATTCCTGCCCGAGCCCCCTCCCTACCATGGGGACCGCATTGTAACTTACCTGCCTCTTTAAAGGCCCTGGCTCCTGACCTGGCTCCAAGCAGTCACAGGTGCAGGGCCTGGGGCTTAGGCCCGCAGGCATCCTGACCTCAGGGCAGGTGGAGAGCGGGCCCTTTCTCCCCGGGGCCAGGAGGAGCCACAGAAGGTTTCAGAGCAGGACAGCGGCACCACTGACCTGCGACTGAGCTCCAGCCACCAGGTCTACAGCAGACGACAGCCAGGGTCACGGTGGGTCAGGTGTGATCCCCACCCTCGCAGGCAGACAGAGCCCTGGGCCTGCGGAAACTGCTTTCTCTCTCCAGGCCTCAGTTTCCTTACCAGAGAAATGGGCCCATGGACTGGATGTAGCAATGCCCAACTCCAGGGACCCATTGATTGTGAGAGGATTTTGCAGGGACACAAATGAGCATCTCCAGTTTGCAAGTTAAGCAATTTTTTTTGAAATTTCATTATTTTGACTTAAAAAATGTTTCCTACTAAGAAATTTGGGGAGGGGGGCATTGTAGCTCAGTGGGTTAAGCCAGCACCTGCAATGCTGATATCACATATAGGCACTGGTTCCAGTCCTGGCTGCTTCACTTCTGATCCAGCTCCCTGCTAATGTGCCTGGGAAAGCAGTGGAAGATGGCCCAAGTGCTTGGGGCCCTGCACCCACGTGGGAGACCCGGATGGCGTGCCAGCCTCCTGGCTTTGGCCTGGCCTGACCCTGGCTATTGCAGCCATTTGGGGAGTGAACCAGAAAATGGAAAATCTCTCTCTCTTGCTCTTGTTCGCTCGCTCACTCCTGCTCTCACTCTCACTCTCTCTCTCTCTGTAATGTGCCTTTCAAATAAAATTAAATCTTAAAAAAAAAAAAAAAAAGTAAGGGCTGGCACTGTGGCGTAGTGGGTAAAGCCGCCACCTGCAGTGCTGGCATCCCGTATGGGCACCAGTTCGAGTCCTGGCTGCTCCACTTCCAATCCAGCTCTCTTTTATGGCCTGGGAAAGCAGTAGAAGATGGCCCAGGTCCTGCACCCACGTGGGAGACCTGGAAGAAGCTCCTGGCTCCTGGCTTCAGATCGGCCCAGCTTTGGCTGTTGCAGCCATTTGGAGAGTGAACCAGCAGATGGAAGACCTCTTTCCCTCTCTGCTCTCTTTGCCTCTGCCTCTCTGTAACTCTGCCTTTCAAAGAAAATAAAACTTAAAAAAAAAAAAAGAAAAAGAAAGTAAATCTCAAGATAAATTTCAAGAGAAATTTTTTGAACATGAGAAAAGCAGAGAATAATATGAACACCATCTACCCATTGCTCAGATTGAGTCACTCAGCATTTTGGCCTGCCTCATCCATTTGGGTTCTGAGACTATTTTTTTTTTTTAAGATTTATTTATTATTTGAAAGGTGGAGTTGCAGAAGCAGAGGCAGAGCGAGCGAGCGGAGTCTCCCATCTGCAGGTTCACACCCCGGATGGCCGCAGCGCTGCCTCGTCCAGGGAATAAGAGGGAAAGTCTCTTCGGGACTGAGGCAATGTTTCCCGGGGTCTTTTCCAGCCCCGCCGGTTGGATGGCAGGCGCGGAGCGCTCGGAGCCTGGAGGCCGACTGTGTATCTGTACACACACGTAGACATCATCAATTTAGATTACGTCAAGGCGTAAGGCCCGCGGGAAACTTGGACGCGTGGGAGGCAGTGGGGCCAAAGCGGCCGAGTGGGTCTCAGGCTCCCGGGACAGAGCCCCCAGGCGGCGGGTAGCGGTCACTGCAGGGCGGACCTGAGCGAGGCGAGGGGCGTGCAGGGCGTCCGGCCCAAAGAGCAGGACAGGCCGAGTCTCCCAGAGCCTGGGCCTCCCCCACTGCAGACAGGAACCGTCCAGCGCTGACTCCAGGGCCTGGGCCTCAGGAGCTCTGTGGGGAGAGTGAGGCGTGCAGCCCAGATTCCTGGAGCAGGGCCGGCCCGCTGAGAACCTCCGGCTGGACAGACAGAGCGGTGATGGCGGGCGGCGGAACAGCCACCATCCCCTGCGCCTTGCTATGTGTTAAGTGCTTCTCAGGATCTGCGTCATTTTTTTTCTTAAGCTTTCATATTATTTCTTTTATTTTTATTTGAAAGGCAGAGAGACAAAGACAGAACAGGGGAAGAGAGAATCTTCCATCTTCTGGTTCAATCCTCAAATGCCTGCAACAGCCAGGGCTGGGCCGGGCCAGCTCAGAGCCAGAAGCCCAGAGCTCGGTCTGTCTCCCACTTGTGTAGCAGGGACCCAAGGACTGGCGCCATCACCTGCTGCCCCCAGAGTCTGTATGAGCAGGGAGCTGGACCGGAAGTGGAGTAGCTGGCACTCTGCTAAGGGAGCGTCCCGAGTGGCAGCTTAGCCACTGCGCCCGGGACCTCTCCTGTGATCCTCGAAACAGCCCAGCCAGCTCAGTGTCGTACTCACTTCACTTAACAGACGAGGAGACTGGGATGCACGGACTTGCCCAAGGACACACAGTGGGTCAGTGCAGAGCTGGGGCCCCAACCCCGTCTGCGTGATCCTAGAGCTCCAAGAGCGCCCTCTAGAGGGAGTCCCCGGCAGACTGCGCACCTCTGCAGGGGAGGGAGTCAGGGAGGACAGGTCTAGGAGGGGCTTGCCAGCTGGGTCTTGAAGGGTGCATACGAGTTCAGAGTTCATGGAAGGAGGAGAGAAAGGGCCTTCGGCGGAGGGGCAGAGTGGGCAGAGGCCTGAGGCTGCAGGGAGGTCCCGGTGTCCATCGAGAGTCTCCCTGCTCCTGTGTTCTCTCTTCCAGGCGGCCGGGACAGGGCGGGCCGACCCCTGCTTCTGGTGTCCACCACCGAGGGGGCCTGGGAGGAGCCATGGTGCACGGCCTCCGAGCTCACCCAGCTGCTTTCCTACCTGTGCACCGTCCCCAGGTGAGGGCCTGGCCCACCCCACCCTCCATCCCCACCTCGGCCCTCCAGGCACCTAGCACAGAGGCCCGCATCCTCCCATCCAGGCGTCTGATCTCAGCGCCGCCCCAGCCACGGACGAGCAGCTGCAGGGTGTCGGTGGGGTGGAGAGAACGGGGGTGGGGGGGGCCATGGCTCTCAGCCCACTGTACGCCAGGACTGCCCTGGTTGTTCCAGTGGCTTCTGGGCCCCTCCCCAGAGCTTCCCATTCACTAGGTCTGGGGTGGGTGGGGCCTGTGAATTTGCACTTTTAAGGTCACTAAGTTTCCTGGTGGCGCTGATGCCTCTGGAGTGAGGACTACCTCTGAGCCCCACTGTTTGGGGCAAGAGAAGCGTGGGAATATTAATTAACACTGGGAAATCAAGGAAGGCTTCCCTGAGGAGGTGGTAATTGAGCTGGCCTCCGAGTGATAAATATTTGAATGAGGAGTGAAAGAGTGGCCCAAGCTGATCTCTATATGCTCCTCGCCACCAGCCCTCACGTACATTCAGCGTTGGACCAGCGGGGACAAGGCCCTGTTCTCTGCTCTGAGACACGGCCCTGAGCCAGGGCAGTCTCAGAGTGGACCTTGGACTACACCCCCCCCCCGCCCCCGCCCAACCTAGAGGTTCTGCTGCAGGGAAGGGAGGAGGGAGAGTGGGGGGGGAGGAAGGCAGGACAAAATCTTTTGGAACCTTCTTCCCCGTGGGTGCCAACGCTGCCACCTGCTGGCCACTGAGAATGCTCTCCCTCCTGTCGGGGTGCAGTGGCTTTTCCTGGTCTGAGGGGCAGAGGGGACGCTTTGTGGGGCCTGAGAAGTGGCGGGAGTGGCAGAAAGGGCCCTGGGATGCCACCAGCTTGCCACGCGGCCCCTTTGTCCATGGAGGACGAGGAGAGTGGCCCGTGCCACGCGAGCTGTGGAGTTCTGTGTGCCAGGCTCTTTCCCACGGGCGCTCTGAACAAACTCTGCCTGGGCACCTGCCTGGGTCTGGCCTCGTGCTGGGTAGTGCCCGGGACCCGGAGCCTCCTCCCCTGTCCTCGAGGGGCCCCAGGCTTGAGGCCGGGACAGCAGCGTGGGCAGAGCTGGAGGCGCTGAGGCGGGGACGTGAAGTCGGGGTCCCCTGGCGCTGCTCACAGCCTCAACCACTTCACCTTCTGTGCCTTAAGAACTTTTTTTTTCTTTTAAGATTTATATATTTATTTGAAAGGCAGAGTTACAGAGAGGCACAGATCTTCCATCCTTTGGCTCACTCCCCAAATGGCCGCATGGTCCGAAGCCGGGAGCCAGGAGCTTCCTCCGGGTCTCCCACATGGGTGCAGGGGCCCAAGCACTTGGGCCATCTTCCACTGCTTTCCCAGGCACATTAGCAGGGAGCTGGATTGGAAGTGGAGCAGCCGGGACTCCAACCGATGAGGCTTTACCCGCTATGCCACAGCGCCAGCCTCTTACAGGGGGCTTTCTAAAGGAGAGAGTGAGTGCCTCTCAGAAGCTCCCACCCAAGCCCCTCACATCTCATTGGCCAGAAATTGGTCACATGACACTCATCTAACCTGATCATTGGCTAGAGGCATTGCATTGCTACTGTTGGCTTCAACCGATCCAAAACCGGCCCTGGGGGTGGCACGTGACTGGAGGGAATCGGATTCCTGGGGATTGCTGGCAACTGGGATGGCGGCTAGGCTGTTTATGATTTGCAGGGCTGCAAGGAAGGCAGGGTGAGGTCTCCTGGGGGCACTGAGGAGGGAGCGCTGGCCTTCGGGGACTTGCGGCGGGCTTCCTGGAGGGGAGGGCTTCCAGGACAGAAATCTCATCCACAACTCAAGGCTTCTCACGGCCGGTTCCCCTGGCCTCCCCCGGGGTCCTTCCTCTGGCAAGTCTCTGCCATTGTGCCCCCCACCCACAGGCCCGAAGAGAAAGCCAAGGGGCTGGTGGTTGTGCTGGACGCCAGGAAGCAGCCCCCACAGCCTGGCCTGCTCAGCGCCCTGCAGGCCACCCAGGTGAGCGGGAGGTGAGGGCCTCAGGGCGGCAAGCCTGGGGGAGCAAGGGACTCCTGACAGGCCCGGGCCCGGGGGCTCAGGGCTGGAACCAGGACGCCCAGGAAGGGACAGTTCATGGCAGCTGGCAGAAAACCCAGCCGCAAGGCGCCTCAAGACAGGGGGAGTTCGCTGGTTCATGGAACTGAACCTTCTAGGAGTTCATCAGCTTCAGGTGTGGCTTGATCCAGGCACGCAGATGATGTCAGCAGGCCCTGGTTCCCCTCACTCCATTTCCAGTCCCTTTCTCCTGGGAGGGGGGCATCCTTAGACCACCCCTTCCTCTTGTGGCAGCTGTGACTTCACAGGGCCTTGCATTTTAATCCAACAGCAAAGAGAGATTGTTTCCCAGAGGGCCAGAAATTAGGTCTAGCCCTAATTGGTCTAGCTATCCATCCATCAGCCAATCATTCCCTGAGGCCCGGGGAATGCGGCGCATAGATTGGCTTAGGCTTAGATGCGCTGAGAAGGGAGGAGGGAGAGATTCGGAACCATGCTTGTAGGCAGGAGTGAACCCTACGCTACACTGACCTCCCATCCCATCAAGGTCTCAGCCCCCGAGCCCTGGCCCGGCCTGCGTGTCGGGGTGGGGGGTGGGGGGCGTGAGGGGTGGGAGGGGTCAGCCAACCCTGAGTCCTCTCTGACAGGCGCTGGCCCCGGCCTCCATCCGAAGTGTCCTGTTCCTGGGGGAGAAGCGGGGCGCCCTGGCGCTGCAGACCGCCTGTGACGTCCAGGTGAGGACGGCAGCGACAGGCGGTGGACCGAGTCGAGGGGATGGGGCACAGCGCTGTGGAAGGCACCCGGTCTGGCGTAGGGCACTACATGCCATTGGTCTCAGAACGATTTCTCCCCGGCAACCCTGGCAGGTTGAACGGCACGCTGCGTGAGCCTGTGAAAAGCTTCACCTAGTCCATCCGGCCAGCCCTTTCTTATCAGATGGGAAAACTGAGGCCCGAGGCCACGAGGCCAAGCTGAGCTGGGGGCTCCTCCACACCGGGCCGGTCCTTCCTGTGTTTCTGCCCCTAATTAACCCAGACGCAGAGGGGATGTCACACTTTGAGGCTGCCTTTAATTAGTGGCTGGTGCCAGGTCATGAACGCAGGGGCCCAGCTCCCCTGCATGGGGCAGGGGTGTAGGAGATCTCCTTCTTCCCCCTCCCCGCCAGGAAAGAGGCGCGTGTGAGCTGGTCAGACTCTTCATCTATGCATTCAGTGGTTCTGGGTGGGACCAGGAGTCCTGCATTTCTCACGTGCTCCCCGGGGCTGCTGGTGCTGCTGGCCCACGGGTGACACTTTGAGTGACAGGGATCACAGATGGATCCACAACAGGTCCAACTCTGGAGCTGTTCCCTGAATAAAACTCCCACGTCACTGCCCAGTGCCACCTCCGCCTCTTAGGGGACACTGCTAGGAACTGGTGACCTTTCTTGTCAGCTCCTGGAAGGAGATAGCAGCTTGGGGTGGCCAGAGAGCAGGGCAAGGATCACAAACACATGGCGCCAGGAGGGAGGGCCAGCGTCAATGCCTGTGTGTGATTGCCCGGAGCGCTGAGCTGAGAAAGAGCCAAGCGCAGGGGGGATGAGTTCTGTGATTGATTAATGAGGTCTGCTGTGGGTACAGCCTGGGCGAGTAGCAGCGTGAGTGCTGTTTATTTGCTGTGCCTTAACCAGGCTCTGGTTCTGAATTTTGATTTCTCAGGGTTTCCAGCAAAGATTGGTTGCCAAGAAAGCAACTGTTCAAGCTGGGGGTGGAGGGGGTGGGAGGAGTTGACCCTGGAGGGGTGAGTGGGTGCTGGGGCAGGGATCTCAGAGGTCCGTCCTCACGCTGAGTGCCCTGGTCGTACTGACCCACTTCGTTGCCTGCAGGTGGAAGTGCTGACCTCACTGAAGGCCCTCGGCCACCACGTGGAGCCCAGCCAGCTGCCGGCAGCCCTGGAAGGCCCCTTCCCCTACTGCCACAGCGAGTGGGTGCAGTTCTTCCAGGTGTCTGCCATCACAGCTTTTAGCTCCCACCCTCATTCCTTCCCCTCCTTCTCCCATCCTGCCCCATGACTCCATCAAAAAACAGAGTCTCACAACAAACGCTGACTGAGGGTGCAGCATGCAGTGAATCAGCGCTCAGGCTCTGGGGCCAGACTGCCTGGGTTCCAATCCTGGCTCTGCTCTGTGACACTGGGTAAGGTACTCACCTTCTCCGGCCCTTGCTTTCCGCGTTGGCAAGATGGCGCCCTCCCTCAGGGTTTCCGTGAGGATGAATTAACGCAGGTAAAGAGTTAGAGGTGCGCCCGGCACATGCTAGGAGCTGTGTCTGTGTTAACTGAAAAGCAGCGTGCAGGCACCTGCCCAGGGGCTCACACAACTCAGGAGCCCGGGGTCTGATGGGGGAGGCAGGTGCGCTTCCTCCTGCCCAAGGGAGGAGACAGACCAGCTGCCAGCACTGGGCCCCCTCGCTGCATGATTGCCATTCCCACCCCCCGCCAGGGGTATTTCATGCCCAGTTTAACACATGAGGACGCAGGGGATGGGGTGACTGCACGGAGGCACGCGGAAGGTTACAGGCTTAAACCATACGGAAACCAGTGTGCACGGGCGGCCGCCCAGGGCGCTGTCAGCAGGCTGCTCAGCTTCGGCCTGCTCCTGCGGGGGGACCGCGGAGTTGGTTTTGGTTGCGTGCTGTCCATGGAGTTGGTTTTGGTTGTGTGCTGTCTGGGGTGTTGGCACATGTTTCACTGTGCCCTGGCCTCGGCCCACTGGATGACAGTGGCACCCCCAGACTAGGGCATCCCAAACTGTCTTCAGGCATCGCCAGGTCTCCCCGGGGGGCGGAGCAGGCTGGTCTACACCGACAGTCTCACCGCAGCTTTGCTAGCTGTCTGTGTGGGCGGTCTTTTTTTTTTTTTTTTTTTTAATGTGACTGGTTTTGGGGAGGAAGATTTATAGATTTATAATAGTACCAGATGCCTCCAGTTAGTCCAGTGACTTTTAAAAATGATTTATTTATTTGAAAGGCAGATAGAGAGAGATCCTCCACCTGCTGGTTCGTTCTCTAAACAGCCAGGGATGGGCCTGGCAGAAGCCAGGAGCCAGGAACTGCACCAGTCTCCCACGTTGGGGCAGGGGCCCAAGGACTTGGGACCTCGTCCACTGCTTTTCCCAGGCGCATTAGCAGGGAGCTGGGTCAGCAGCAGGGCAGCTGGAACTTGAACTAGCACTCCCACAGGGGATGCCGGCATCACAGGCGGTGGCTTAACCCACCGGATCACAACACTGGCCCCAATCTAGTGACTTTGAACTTTATTTTAGCTTAAAAAACTTTCCTGTGAATGAAATCTTCCTTAAAGACCTGGAGTGTAAAACCAACCACAGTGGCAGGTGTTTGGTGTAGGGTTAAGCTGCCTAAGGGTGCCTGTGTCCTGTGTCACAGACCTTGGGGACCCTGGGTTTGACACCCGCATCTGCTCCTGATGCCAGCTTCCAGCAGTGATGGCCCAAGGCGCTGGGTTCCTGCCATCCACGTGGGACACCTGAGCTGAGCTCCCGGCTCCTGGTTTCAGCCTGGCCCTGCCCCGGCCTTTGTAGGCATTTGGGGATTGAGCAGGCGGATGAGGGCTCTCTGTCTCTAGCTCTCAATAATAATATAATAATAATAATAATAATAATACAAAACCTGACCATGATGCTGGCTAACCATGTGTGCTGGGCTCCTCATACAGCCCTTGGATATACGAATCATTGTGAGCCCATTTCACACAGGAGAAAGCAGAGGCACAGAGACGGTGAGTGACCTGCCCCAGGTCTCACAGCGAGTAACAGCAGAGCTGGGCTGAAGCGGGACCCAGCCAAGGACAGGCCCCTCCCCTCCCTTGAAACGCCCCCACTGGCCTGAGCTGTGCGGCAGCCCAGCTTCTCCCCACCCCCCATTCTCAACACCCCCACCGGCCCTCAGCTTCAACCTCCCTTGGGAGCGTGTTACAAATGCCCGTTCCCAGGCCCCGCCCAAAGGGACTGAATCAGGGACCGGAGGGCAGGGCCCTGAAGTCTGTCGTCGCCGACCCGTGAGGATACTGTGCAGCTCAAATGTGAGAAGCGCTGCCCCCTTCCTACCCTGTGTCCACCTGGGCGCCCCTGGTGACCCCTCTTCTGCCCCGCAGAGGCTGGACCCCTTCCTGGCCACTCTCCGTCAGGCCTCCTCCCTGCTACAGGCGTCCATCGAGGAGTTCAAGAAGGGGGCGCCCCCTGCAGGCGTGCAGGTGAGCCTGGGGCACAGGGCAAGGAAGCCACAGGAAACCCCTGATTCCGGGGGCCAAGGGCTCAGGGATGGGCCAGCAGAGTGGGCATCATCGCCCCACTATTCTGGTATTTATCGGGGCCCCACTCCGTATGCCACACTGGAGACCCAGCCCAGGGGTCCCTGCCCTCCTGGGCCTCATGGTGGTAATTTAAAAGCAAACATGGCAAGGATACGGAGTCCCAAAATGTGGCAAATGCCATAGAAGTAAGATTGCGAGTGATGGGGAAGGGAGGGGTGGCAAGGGAGTGGAGCCCTGGGATCCAAGGAGGAGCCTGCCTCAGGGGGCCTGGGCTCCAGGCGGAGGGCAAACCTGTGCAAAGGCCCTGAGAAAGGTTTGTGCTTGAGATGCTAAGGAGTGGCGAGGAGGCAGAGTGAGTAGAGAGGGAGGAAGGCACTGGGGGTGTTGCAGATCGCACAGGGCAGGATTCGGGGCTCAGCCAGCCAGCCGGGAAGCTGCTGGGGAGTTTCAGGCAGGGGAGCCTTTCAGCTGCCATGTGGAGAACAGACTGTAGGGGGAGCCAGAGGACATCAGGGAGATCAAGGAGGAAGCTGGGATGGGTGTCCCAGCAAGAGATGCTGGCGCTTGGGCCAGAGTGGTTGCCATGGCAATGAGAGGGAGCGTGGCTTGGGGCGGTGTTTTAGAGGGAAAATCCATAGGCTTTCTAGAGGAACTTGAATGCCAAATCACAGAAGTGAGGTTTGGTGCGGGTGTGGGGAGCCCTGGCAGGTTGCAGAGGGAGAGTGGGATTGGGTCTGAGGGGGCCTCCCGTTGCCTGCAGGAGGCCACCAGGTGCCTGAGCAAGTTCAAGGATCTGATGGAGGCTGTGCTGCGGGATCCAGGCCTCCTGGACCTCCAGCGGGATGGTGGAGCCACCCTAGCCAGGCTACGGCGAGAGGCCAGCAGGCTGGACTTCAACCCGGACATCAGGTGTGGATGGCTGGCCCTCTCCTCTCTACCCCCCGACCCTGTTCCCCATGTGGGGGCTTAGAGCTGGGGCTGCCCCTGAGGGAACACACAGGGCAGGCCCCGTGCAGCCCAGCTCAGACGTCTCCAGGGCCTATGCCCTGAAACCTGCCCCAGGCCCCCAGTCTACACCTTGGCAAATTCCTTTTTTTTTTTTCTTTTTAAGATTGATTTTATTTATTTGAAAGGCAGCATGACAGAGAGAAGGAGAGAGACAGAGAAATCAACTATCTACTGGTTCACAATAGCCAGATGGCCACAATAGCCAGGGCTGGGCCGGACCAAAGCCAGGAGCCTGGATTTCCATCCGGGTCTCCCACGTGGATTCAGGGACCCAAGCACTTGGGCCATCTTCCACTGCTTTTCCAAGTGCATTAGCAGGAGCTGGATCAGAAGTGGAGCAGCCGGGACTCGAACCCTTAGCAAATTCCTCATCCTTCCTCTGCTCTCCCTCCTTTAGCCATGGCCACCTTGAGCCTGGAGTGGGCCCCAGAGGCCAGCCCTGCCCACTCCTGGTCACCCTTGCTGACTAAGCATTCTTTGCGACCCAGACGCCGGGCTGAGCCCCTTCAAAGGCCATCTCAGCTGTTCCTGGCACTTGGCCCATGGGTGACGAGCTCAGTGATGTGGCAGCCAGGCCACTTGTCCGTTGGACCCCTACCTGGTCCCTCTTTCCCCAGCTGCTTGGCTTGCCCTGGAGAACCGAGTACCTTGTCAGGGGCTTCAGAGCGCCTGGATAATAACAGGCTTTCAGGGAAAGTACCCACTTTGCTGAGTTTAGGGAGTCAGAGGAAGTCGGTAATGAAATTGGTGAGTAGGGGGCGGGCATGGTGGCGCAGCTGGTTGAGTGATGCCCACATCCCATGTGGGCACTGGTTTGAGTCCTGGCTCCTCCACTTTCATCCCAGCTCCCTGGGAAAGCAGCGGAAGATGGCCCAAGTGCCTGGGCCCCTGCCACCTACGTAAGACCCAGATGGAGCTCCTGGCTTCTGGCTTCAGCCTGGCCCAGTCCTGGCCATTGCAGCTTTTGGGGAGTGAACCAGCAGATGGAAGCTCTCTCTCTCCCTTTCTCTCTGTAACTCTGCCTTCCAAATAAATAAACCTTTTTTAAAAAATAGAAATTGGCTCAGTAGCTGGAGGTATTTTCTCTCAATTAGATCACAGCTGCTTACCGCCAGGAGTCACGTTTGAGGTTTGCATAAGCTTCTAAGAACCATTTGTTTATCGACCCAACACTTGAATAGCACTTAGTGCAAGTAGAGCCTTGTTCTAAGGGCTTTACAAATGCTGGCCCATTTGACTCCCATGCCTGAGACAGGTGCTGGCATTAGCCTGAATTTACAGTGGGGGAGTCCTAGGCTCAGAGAGGTTATGGGGCAAGTTCAGTGTCATAGAGCAGGGATGTCGTGGGACTAGGACTTGAACCCGGGCAGCCTGGCCCCAGAATCTGGACCGCACCACCCCATGTGCATCCCTAGACTCAGGGTCAAGTCTTCACAGATGGACCGTGGGGCATGGGGTCAGCTCCTTGCCCCTTGCCCTGCCTGGTTGGGGAGACGCTAGCATTCCCAGTGTACCCTGCCCCTCTGTACACATGGATGCAGGAATCCCCACCAGGGGGCACTGTGGTCCCATAGGAGCTGCCTCATGGGTTTGTTGACTGCTGGGTCCTGTGGCCCCAGCCTGCCTGACCCTCTCCCTCCCTCTCCAGGCCGGCAGCCCTGTTCCCTTGGGTTCTCATTCCCTGGGGAGCTGCAGGGGGTCAGCCAGGGTCCCCGAGGCCCCCTCTGGAACAGTGGGCTTTCTTGCTGCTTCTCCTGGAGGCAGACCCTCTGGTGAAGGGGAGGGGGCTGGGGGTTGAGATTCCTCCTTCGCCCAAGGGTGGCTGTGCCTGAGAGCCCATCTGTACCCTTCCTTGAAGCCTCGGAACTTGGGCTGTTTTTTGTTTTTGTTTTTTAAAGATCATTTGCAGAAACAGCCCCGGGCTGGGTTCCCATGGCGAGTGTCCTTTCTGCTCTCGGGGAGCTCAGTTTTTCCATCTGTGAAATGGAGGGCCTGGGCTGTAGCTTCTCACCATCACTGCGATGGGAGTAGGAGGGTGCAGGCACGCAGTGCAGGTCTCTGCTGCGTGTGGTCCCCGAGGGCCGTCCTGGGAATCTCCTAGCAGCTGGGGCTGCCTCAGTTGGTCCTGGGCTGGGCCCTGGGCCCTGAGCTTTCTCAAAGGCCCTGGGGCAGGTTCCCCTGTGTGGCCAGGACTGAGAGCCAGAGCGTTAGAGAATTTCCTCCCCCCAGCCACTCTGCCAGGCGGCTTCTGTTGTTATTCCCACTCCACAGACAAACACGGGAGCACAGGAACACAGAGGAATTTGCGCAGGTCTCGTCCTAGAAGGTAGCAGGGCTGGGCTTTGGAGCCGGATAGGTGTAGCTGCCTGTGTCCTCCAAGGGGAGGGGCTCATTGACTCTGCTTCGTCCTCGGGTCTTCCCAGTCCCCGCAGGCCCAGAGAGGTGTAGAGACCCACCCAGGTCACACAGCAAGTCAGCAACTGGAAACTTAGGTTGGGGCCACAGAGATGGGGTGCTGGGGATGGGAGGGCATCGAGGGCCGGCTCCACCCCCTGCCTCCCCTAGGAGCCACCTGGCCGAGGCCGCCACCCTGTACGGCCTCGTGGACGAGCAGCTCCACGTCCTGGTCACTGCGTCCAACCACCTCCTGGGGAGGCTGGAGCTCCGCGTCAGCCTGGGCCGCCTGGAAGCCGCCATCCGCCAGGTGCGAGGGGAGGCCGGCGGAGGGGTGAGGGGTGGGCCCAGCCACCCTCCCAGGGAAGGCCCTGCCCAGCCCGCCGCCTTGTCCTGGCGCAGACTCGGGTGGGTGGTGTCGGTCTCCACCCTGGTCCTAGCCTGGCCCCCAGTGGAGTCCCGCCAAGGAGCCCCGGTGTGGGGCAGGACGTGTCGCCAGCCTCCCTCCCCAACCTCCCCTGCCTCAGGTCAGCGACTGGATGGAGCGGGAGGGCAGCCGGTGCCTGCAGGCCCTGGCCCCCGAGGACGGCAGCCTGGAGGCCGTGGAGAAGGCGCACATGGAGTTCGAAGACTTCTTCCTTCAGGCTGCAGTGCGTCCCACACCGCGGGGAGTGGGCGCAGTCCTGGGGCAGGGGGGAGGGCACCCAAGGGGTGGCCCTGCCAGGGCCGAGATGTGGAGGTGGCAAAGTGCAAACAAGTCCAGAGACAGCGAGGAGGCCAGCACAGGTCACCAAGGGGCCAGCAACGATGTTACCTCCTCCAGGGAGCCTCTCGAGATTGCCGAGTCCGAAGAACACGCAGACGCCCCAGAGGGTTTCTTAAAATGCAGCTTCCTGGACCCACTCGGTCAGCCCCAGACAACAGGGACAGGGACGCGGGGCCCTCGATGTGCTGAGGCTTGAGTACAGAGTGATTGAGCGGAAGTTGGGGGTAGGGGACCAACGGGAAACACAGGGACTGTGAGGACACAAAGGAGAGCCCTCAACCTAGGCTTTGGGGTCAGAGAATTTTCCAGAAGGAAGACACCTGAGCAGAGTCTGGCAAGGCAGAGGCCTGGAGTGCTAATAGTGTCCCCATTCTATAGATAAGGAAACTGAGGCCCAGGAAGTCTCACAACTCGGTCATGGGAGGTGCCTGACATCCAGGGAGACCCCCTCTCCTCCCATCCCAGGCCCAGTACCGCCGAGGCCTTGAGCTGTCCAAGCAGGCGGCCCAGCTGGGAGCTGCAGCCGGAGGGCCTGGCGAGGCGGGCGGAGCAGAAGCCCCAGAGCTGGCGGCCTTCGCGTCCACGCAGCGCGCGTTCCAGGCTAAGCTGACCCACTTCTACATGGCGGCCGAGCGCCAGCGCACCGACCTGGAGACGCTGCTCCACCTGCACCGCTTCTGCAGGAAGGTGAGCCCGTGGCCCAGCCGCACAGCCCCAGCCCCGCAGGCCGCAGCAGGGTGGCCTGGGCGACAGCAGGCTCTCTGGGTGATGTACTCCTGCAGTCCCATGGGGAAGGAGCCCTGGGGCAGGGAAGAACTGGGCTTGGACGTGGCTGTGTCCCACCCGTTAACACTCCCGGTGCCTTGTCCAGAGAGAGGAGGGGGCAGAGGCAGATTCCCTTGTCCCAGCCAGCAGGAGGATGATGAAGATGAAGGCGATCTGGTTGTTAGGAGGGTATGTGCTCTGTGCCAGACCCTCCCACACCGCCTCCCATACCTTGCCTGCTTAAAAGCTCACTGTATCTCTATGAGGGACGGCTGCCAGTAACCCGTCCATTTCTCAGGTTAGAACAGAGACAGAGAGGGAAGTGACCTGCTCAAGGTTGCCCAGAGGGTCGGGGTCAAGCAGGTTTTGACTCTAGAGCCCTCCCCACTCCTGAGTCCATGCAACCAACCCCCTGGTTTTTCTCATGGGCAGACAGAGGTCTGCAGGGATGAGGGCGGCCTGGGGGAGCTGGGGCCCAGCTGGGACGGGAGCCCCAGGGCCCTCGGCTGCTCCTGGCACTTGCTACGAAGGGCGTCCCAGGAAGAGCACGCCCCACGACTTGGCGCCGGCAGGCCTGCCCGGCGCACTCCGGGCCCTGTCTCCCTGTGGCGGGGCTCAGAGCAGCGTCCCACTCCCAGCTGGGCAGAGTTAGAGGGTGGGGTAGAGGCAGAATCGGAGGCTTAGCGCCAGGGGCTGCGCTGGCCTGCGGGGGCTGTGGGACCCTCTGTGACAGGCTGCGCTGCTCGGAGCCCCTGCTCCTCCGAGGCGACAGTGATAATGACCCATGGTGCATACGCAGTTCCTCGTGTGCACCAGGCCCTGTCCCAGCCGCTCCACCCTGGCCGAAGATTTTGCCCGTTTCACACAGGAGTAGGAGCCAGAGAGGTCATGGACCTCACCCAGGGTCACACAGCTGCCCAGTGGCAGAGCTGAGATTCAAACCCAGGCTGCCAGGCGCTAGAGGGAAGTGAAAGGCCGCCCGGGGCATGGCCGCACGGCGCCCGTTTCGCTGTGACTGACCGCAATGTCATCTAGGGTTGAGGGTGTCTGGGCTCGTGGGTTGTGGCCTCCTTGGCCTTCCTGGGCTCTGGGGGCCTCTCCCTCAGCCTGGGAGGCCCCTCCCTCTGGTGAGCTGGTTCTTCCTCCATGCGCTCATGTCGCCTCCTCCGGGAGGCCCTCCCGGCCACCCAGCGCCCGGCACTGCTCCTTCTCACCACCTATTTCCCAGCTGCCTGGTGCTCACTGACTCTTTGCTGCGTCCTAGCTCTGGCACCCATGTGCTGAGTGCCCTGAGGCAGGGACTGGGTCTCAGCGGCTCCAGGGGGGCCCACAGAGGGCACGCAGTCGGGGCTCACGCAGAAGGTGGGAGAGGGGAAGGCCAGTGTGGGGAGAGCCTGTGAGGAAGAGAAGCCTTGGAGTCCCACCCTGCTGACTCTGGCTGTTTGTCCTGGGCTGTCCTGGGCGCGGTCCTTCCAAGCATGCAGCATGGTGCGGGACGAGGTGATTTCTGGGTGGCCAGCCACGTGTGTCCAGCTTGGCCTGGACGGCTGAGCCCCGGCCAGGGCACTGGACAACATGGCAGCCCCAAGCCCAGCCTGGCCCCAGGCCGGGAGTGTGAACACCACCGCCGCCGTGGCCCTAAATAATAATAACCCGAGTGTGCGGCTCAGGGAGATTTATGGAGCCCTTTGCCAGCCATGAGCTCTGTGAGCTGCCGCGAATATGAAGCCATTCATCTAAAGACAAGTTCCCTTAATCCGCGGAAAGATGGCCTCCTCGGAGGAAATGGCCCTCCCAGCCCCATCGGCTAACAGCTCGCTGTCGGCCTCCAAAGTAATGGAGAGAGGGATTGCGTTTGTCACGAGCTGCGGGAGCACGCGGGCTCCCTGGGAATCTGAAGGCCTTTTGTGGGGGAAGTGGGCACAGGCAGAGTCACAGCCCAGGGCAGAAGCCCTGCTGGAGCGAGGGGGCCCGTGGCCTGGCCTGGGTGACTTCTGCTGTGCAACCACTGGGGCGCACCCCCTGCCTGGGCCACTCAGATCCGAGTTGGAATCCAGCTTCTCTTTGACCTGCTGTGTGACCTGGGGCATGTGAAGTCACTGCTCTGAGCCTCATTGTCCCTTTCTGTGAAATGGGCTGAGGGCTGAGCTGTCGGTGATCAGTGGGTAAGTCCTTGCTGGCCCGCAGGGCTGCTGGGGCCGTTCCCAGGTGCAGGTGTGTGTGCCCCAGGGAAGGCAGAGAAACCATTGTCGGCAGAGTGGGCGAGGATGTTGGTTCATTCTAGCAATCCCCAGCCTCTGAGCCGCTCTGCCGACATGTACGGCCTGTCTCTCGGAGCCCCCATGGTCCCACTCCCAGCCTGAGCCTCCGCCTTCTTCTCTTCTCGTCCCCAGCTGGCCTGGTTCCACATGGACTGTCGGGACCTGATGTCGCAGCTCAGGCTGGGTAAGGCCCAACGGGCCAGCCCCGGGGACCAGCGCCGCCTCCAGCGCTACCTGCAGCGCCTGGCGTCCGAGTTCTCTGCCCAGAAGCTCACGGCCATGGGGCTGCAGGTGGCCTCCCTGAGCCGGGTGGGGATGGGCCAGGACTTATGGGAGGAGGCCCGGGCAAGACACGAGGAGACCCAGGCCCTCCTGCAGAAGGCCCTGGCCCACTGTCCGAGCACAGCGGTGCCCGCCACCCACAGAGGGGTGGCAGCCAAGGACCACGGGCCGAATGGAGATGTCACTTCCAAGGAGAGGCGGGACCTGCCCCTGCAGGACTCACCGGCCGGGGATCCTTCACCCAAATCCCACTGGCCTCGTCGGGGCACCAGAGGGAGGCCAGGAAGGAACTGCGAGGCTGGCCAGGCTGGGCCCCCCGACCTCACCCCCGAGCGGTTTCTTGCCGCCCTCTTCTCCCGGCAGCGGCTCCCCAGGCACAGCCGGGCCCCCCGCGCCCCTGGAGGCAGCTTCTCTTCAGAGGGGACAGACTCACAGACGTCCCTGGAGGACTCACCCCAGACAAGCCCCCCTGCGTCCCTCTAGCCGGGGGCCCCGTCGCCTGCACCAGGCTCAGGACTGTTGAGCACTGGTTTCACCTGTGCTGGGAAGACGAGCACCTGCTCCCAGCCGCGGGGCACTCTGGGAGTGGGAGTGGGACCCAGATGCCGTGAAGCGTGTGATGGCTTCACAACTCTGGGGTCTCGGGGGAACACGCATTGCCACAGACCTCAGATCCCAGGGATAGACTGGCCCAGCAGCCACCCGGAGTTCAGGGAGGTGCACGGCTTCCCCTCCAGGTGCCAGGGCAGCCGAACCCACTGGTGGGGAGATTCGGGAGTGGCCTCCTGCCTCATGGCAGCAGCTCTCAAGACAAGGATTGGCTGTGACTTTGGCTGCGACCCCAGGAACTGAAGGGCAGGATGGGGCAGGGCAGGGTAGGGCAGGTGATTCTGGGAGGGGACAGAAGGTGTTATGGAGCGAATTCCCACATGGGCCACTGCAGCTCAGTCCTGCTGGGGATGTCTGGAAGGCGGGAACACGCCCCCATTTATCCTGCCGGGGGGTGTGGCACTTATCCCTAACTCCCAGGGCTCAGACCTGTGGGCTGCAGGCAAAGCTCCATGGGCCTCAGCCGAGAGAATCCCCCTATGGGGCTGGAGGCCGCTCCTGCCTCCTGCACACGCAAGGGGACGGGCAAGGGCAGGGCTGCTGCTCTCCCCTCCCCTCGGCTCCTGGGCCTCCATCCTCAGATTCACAGAACCCTACAGCGTCTCACATCCAGAGAGAAACATCCCATCTAGAGAGAAACATCCCATCCAGGGTATCTGTCTTCTTTATCCCCACCGTGTCTCTGACTCTATGTCTTCCATCCCCCACCTCTCCTTGGGCACAGCCCCTGGTGCCCAGGGAACCTGGGGTTCTAAGGCATGGGAGTAGCGGGATGAGGGGAGGGAGCACCATCGCCATCCAGCAGGCCAGCGCTGAGGCCGAGTACAGGGTCTCAGGCAGAGGTACCCCTGCTGGCAGCTCCCAAGCACCTTTCCCAGTGTCTGCCCCGTCTCGGCCTTGGGATTCGTGACTGTGATGGCCTCAGGCAGCCGGGCTCGGAGTCTTTATGGCTGCAGAAGGAGGTAGGAGCAGACATGCTCCCAGCAGTGAGGCTGTGCAGGGGGACCAGCAGGTGTCCTGGGAGTCATCGCAGCCAGGAGTCACACACGTTCCAGCCCCAGGGCCTCCAGGAATCTTCTGTGACACTCAAGATTTCTCCAGTTTGGTAGGGATCCCATCCCCAGAGTTAAAGTCGGACCCTTGGGGCTGGGGGATGGAATCTGCATTCGGAATACCTGCTGCGGAGCTCCCCATGCAGCCCAGCAAGAGTGGGAGCACAGTCTGGGGAAGTTACTAACGGGGGGGGGGGGGGCACATGCAGCAAGGGCCGCCCCGCCGTGTCAGAACATGGCCGGAGTGGGAGGCGTCAGGCGCACAGAGAGCTCACCCTAAGGACCCGTGCCCACCTTGATCCCTTCCTGAAGACAGAGCCCTCATCACCTGCTCACTCCCTGGAGCCCCAGATCTCAATACTGTGGCACTGGAGATGAAGTTTCCAATACGTGAACGGGGCAGGGGACACACCAAAGCCAAAGCAGAGGTGCCCGAGCCAGCCCCGCACCGCAAGCCTGCTCTAAATTCTGTGGTCTGCTCCCCGCCTGCCATCCAGAAGCCCAGCCATGCGTAAGGAAAGCCGTTTGATCAGCCCATCTCTATCCATGCCTGTCGCCTCGGAGGGGGGCCTCAGGCTCTTAAAATGCTGTTGCCATAGCAACAGCATCCAGCCAGTGGGGACCACAGGCAGGGAGCCAAGGAGACTGGGGTGCAAGGATGGAAAGTCACTGGAGAGACAGTGCTGGGGAGGAGGAGGGCTGGTGGGGGGCGGGTGATCTGAGAACCCTTGGGAGGGGGGTCCCCAAGGTCATCTTGTGCATCCTTCTATCTCCAAAAAGTGCTGCCCGTGTACTCGCAAAGGCCCTGGCGGAGAAGGGGACGCAGAAATGCACTGTAATCATTACAGTATACAAGTGCGGTTCTAAGAGCTAACATTCCTTTTGCGTCTTCCTCATGCCTCGCTTTGTGCTAAGAGTTACAAAGGCTTTGACTTTTTCACAACAAGCCAACGTGGAAATCCCGCGGGACGTAGCGTGGGCTCAGCAGATGGCGCCCAGGCTCATTCTGCGGCGCCGGCCCTGCCAGCCCCTGCTTCCGTTGCCTGGCATCCAGGAAGAGGTTTCCCCAGAGACCACCAGTGAACCCCCACTGCATCCTGGGGGGCTTTGCACTCCGATTCCGGTGACGTCCTCGCGTTGTTTTCCGAATCCCCTCTCTTTCTCGGAGGCCAGCTTACTGCGTGGGGTCGCAGCAGGGAGGTTCCCCTGCATGTGCAGCTCCCCACGGGGGACCGCAGAACTGTGAAACTGCAAAGGCCCTGGCCCCAGGGCTGCTCCGAGGAGGTGGCCGCCCGGCCTGAGGGGATGACAGTGGGGCTGAGCCCCAAGTCTGCCCATGGCCCCATTGAACCACCCCCATGAGGGGAACCCCTATGGAGCAACCCTAAGGGCTGTTGGTGTGAGAGAGCCCAGCCTGGCACTCAGGGACCCTGTGTGCCCTGTGACCCCATGCAGGTTACTTCCTCTCTTGTGCTTAGTGTACCCCATCTGTCCAATGGGGGCATGGGGTGGGTAAGGATCTTTCTCATCGTGGGAATCAGCCCTGTCTTTGATTCCATGCCTGGTGCCTCCGAGTAGATGGCCACCCTCAGTTTTCCCCGTCTGTTCAATGGGCTTGTCAATCCTACTGGGTGAAGATGATAGGATCTCAGGATGTTTTCCTTTCCAGAGGAGTGGCGGTCTTGGGAAAGAGCAAAGCTTGGAAAGCCTGCTGGGCTGCGACATGGGGCAGCAGCGGGACCGAGACCCAAGCAGAAGCGCGGGCACTTTACAGTTTACAAAGCACCTGCTTGTCTGTCGTTTCCTCCTCTGACATTTGCTATGACCTTGAGGGCCCCAGAAGTCGTCCTCTGGGATGTCCCCATTTTACAGCTGAGGAGACTGAAGCCTAGAGAGGGGAGATGTCCAAGGTCATGCAGCCGGGAGAGAGATTGGGGAGGGGAAGCCTCGGGGCGGGCCCGAGTTCCGGTCAATATCCAGTCGCAGAGGGTGTGTGAGCCTCCATGCGGACCCCTCTCCAGACCCAGTCTGAGACCTGACCTCCTCCTTTCTGCAGAAATGGCTGCTGGGATTTTGTTTTTATTTGGGGACTGAACCAGTGGATGGGAGAGGGGTATCGATCTGTCTCTCTCTAGCTCTGCCTTTCAAATAAATACATCTTTAAAAATAAATAAATAAAAACACATTACAAAGCAGCTGGAGGAGCAGCAGGTGGGAGGTGTGCAGGTACAGCCTGCGGGAAGGGGTGAGGGTGGGGGGGCACAAGCTTCTGCACCCACTCCCCGAATCTCCAGGTGTCCCGCTCTCCGGAAGCTCCCTCGGCCCATTCTTCAATAGAATCAGGGAATTTATGACAAACGCACAGCCAGCGTCCATTGAATGGGGAAACGTTGGAAGTATTTCCACTGAGATCCAGAATCAGACGAGGATGCCCACTCTCACCATTGCTAATCAATATAGTCCTGGAAGTTTTAGCCAGAGCCATCAGGCAAGAAAAAGAAATCAAAGGGATACAAATTGGGAAGGAGAAGTCAAACTATCCCTAACTGACATGATTGTATATCTAGGGGATCCAAAAGACTCCACCAAGAGACTGTTGGAACTCATAGAAGAGTGTAGTAAAATTGCAGGATATAAAATCAATACAGGCTGGCACCACGGCTCACTTGGCTAATCCTCCGCCTGCAGTGCCAGCACCCTGGGTTCTAGTCCCAGTTGGGGCGCCGGGTAATAGTCCCAGTTGCTCCTCTTCCGGTCCAGCTCTCTGCTGTGGCCCGGGAGTGCAGTGGAGGATGGCCCAGGTCCTTGGGCCCTGCACTTGCATGGGAGACCAGGAGAAGCACCTGGCTCCTGGCTTCAGTTCAGCACGGTGAGCCAGCCGCAGTGTGCCAGCCGTAGCGGCCACTTTGGGGGTGAACCAATGGAAGAAAGACCTTTCTCTCTGTCTCTCTCTCACACTGTCTAACTCTGCCTGTCCAAAAAAAAAAAAAAAAAAATCAATACACAAAACTCAGCAGCCTGTGTATACACAGACAATGCCATGGTTGGGAAAGAACTTCAATCCCATTCATAATAGCTACAAAAAAATTCAAATACCCTAGAATAAATTTAACCAAGGATGTCAAAGATCTCTATAATGAGAACTGCAAAACATTAAAGAAAGAAATAGAAGATACAAAAAATTGGAAAAATCTTCCATGTTCACGGATTGGAAGAATCAATATCATCAAAATGTCCATGCTTCCAAAAGCAATTTACAGATTTGATGCAGTACCAATCAAAATACCAAGGACATTCTTCACAGATATAGAAAATATGATGTTGAAATTCATGTGGAACACAGGAGACCCAGAATAGCTAAAGCAAGTTTAACAAAAACAAAGCCAGAGGCATCACAATACCAGATTTCAAGACATACTACAGGGCAGTTATAATCAAAACAGCCTGGTACTGGTACAAAAACAGGTGGATAGACCAATGGAACAGAATAGAAATGCCAGAAATCAATCTATGCATCTACAACCAACTTTTCCATATGAATATTTGACAAAGGAGCTAGAATCAATCTCTGGAGTAATGGCCGTCTCTTTAACAAATGGTGCTGGGAAAACTGGGTTTCCACATGCAGGAGTATGGAGCAAGACCCCTACCTCACACCTTATACAAAAATCCACTCAAAATGGATTAAAGACCTAAATCTACAACCTAACACCATCAAATTATTAGGGAAACCCTGCAAGACATTGACATAGCAAAGACTTCTTGGAAAAGACCCAGAGGCACAAGCAATCAAAGCCAAAATTCACAAATGGGATTAATTCAAATTGAGGTGCTTCTGTACTGCAAAAGAAACACTCAGGAAAGTGAAGAGGCAACCAACAGAATGGGAGAAATTATTTGCAAACTATGTAACTGACAAAGGATTAATAACCAGAATATACGAAGAGATCGAGAAACTCCACAACAAAACAAACAACCAAGTTAAGATATGGGCAAAGGATTTAGACATTTTTCAAAAGATGAAATCCAAATGGCCAACAGACACATGAAAAAATGTTCAGAATCACTAGGCATCAGGAAAATGCAAATCAAAACCACAGTGAGGTTTCACCTCACCCTGGTTAAAATGGCTTTCATACAGAAATCAACAAACAACAAATGCTGGCGAGGATGTGGGAAAAAAGGTACCCCAATCCACTGTTGGTGGGAATGTAAACTGGTAAAGCCACTATGGAAGACGCATGACAAACCTCAGAAACCTGAATATAGACCTCCCGTATGACCCAACCATTCCACTCCTGGAAATTTACCCAATACAAATGAAATCAGCATATGAAAGTTATCTGCTCCCCCATGTTTATTACAGCTCAGTTCACAATAGCTAATACATGGAACCAACCCAAATGCCCATCAACTGAAGACTGGATAAAGAAATTATGGGATACGTACACTTTGGAATACTACACAGCAGTAAAAAAAATGAAATCCAGTCATTTACAACAAAATGGATGAATCTGGAAAACATCATATTTAGTGAAATAAGCCAGTCCCAAAGGGACAAATACCATGTGTTCTTCCTGATCTGTGATAACTAATGGAGCACCTAAAAGGCAATCTGTAGACATGAAATTGACACTTTGAGAAGCAATGACTTGAATAGCCCTTGTCTTGACTATTGAGGAACATATCTTTTTAAAAATACTATTTGTTGAACTCCGCTTAACGTCAAGTTAAACTAAACATACGTGTACAAAGTCAATTAAAAATAGATCTCAGTAAAAAATAAGAGTGGGAATAAGAGAGGGAGGAGGAGGGGTTGGGAGTATGGGTGGGAGGGTAGGCATGGTGGGAAGAAGCACCATCTTCCTAAGTTGTAAGTGGGAAGTGTAGGAAGTTTGTAATTGTAAAGCTGTATAGTTCTGCATACATTCCTATGGACTTACTTCTAAGGGTACAGTTTAAAAACTTGCCATGGGACCCCATATCTCCTTAAGCTCAGTGGTAAAAATACCATCTTAAGTGTTAAAATGATCATATGGATAGGGTTAAGGGTCTGAATTAAAAAGGAGTGAATGCTCCAACATGGGAAGCAGTCCACAGAGCAGACTCATAGAATGACAATTGCTTTAAATAGCATTCTGGGGGCTGGCGCTGTGGCGTAGCAGGTAAAGCCGATGCCTATAGTGCCGGCATCCCATATGGGCACTGGTTCATGTCCAGGCTGCTCCACTTCCCATCCAGCTCACTGTTGTGGCCTGGGAAAGCAGTAGAAGATGGCCCAAGTACTTGGGAGACCCACGCGGCCCACATGGGAAACCTAAAAGAAGCTCCTAGCTCCTGGCTTTGGATTGGCGCAGCTCCGGCCGTTGCAGCCAATTGGGGAGTGAACCAGTGGATGGAAGACCTCTCTGTCTCTCTGTGTAACTCCGACTTTCAAATAAATAAATCTTTTAAAAAAAAAAAGCACTCCGACCTCAGAATCATCCCTTAAGGCATTCAGGTCTGGCTGAAAAGCCCACAAGAGCATTTCAGGCATGGAAAGCCAAGACACTGTGGTAAAAAAATGTCCTACATGAAGGACCTCGATGGGTGAGAACCCAGTGGAAAGAAGTGGTCATCAAAGAAGGAGGTACTTTTCTCTGAAGGGAGGAGAGAACTCTCACTTTGCTTCTGGCCTTGTCTAAATACTGATGGAGTCCGTGGATTCAAAAGGCTTCCGTAGCCTAGGCAGCTCATGTCAAGAGCTTCAGCTGATCAGTGACATCATACATAAAAGTGTTAATTGTTAAATTGGCAACAGGAATCACTGTGCACTAACTTCCCATGCAGGACCTTTGTCCTCAAAGAGTTGTATTATAATTATGTCTAAGTGCTCGCAAAAGATGTATCATTCTTGGGTGCTTCTTTAAAGTAAATTAAGTTCTTAAAAAAAAAAAAGTAGAATTAACTTCCAGATGCATTGATTTTGAACAGCCCTTGTCTCGATGTTTTGTTTTTTATTTTTTCTGTGCAAATTATTGAACTCTTTACTTAGTATAGAGTTGATTTTCTGTGTATAAAGTTAATCAAAAATGGATCTTATTGGAGAATGAGGCTGGGAATGGGAGAGGGAGGAGGAGGAGGGGTGAGAGTGGGTGGGAGGGTGGGATATGGTGAGAAGAATCACTATGTTCCTAAAGTTGTACTTATGAAATGCATAAAGTCTGTGTTCCTTAAATAAAAGGATTTCTTTGGGGAGAAAATAAATTAATTTTTAAAAAAAGAATGCTGTGGGGGCAGATGTCATGGCCCAGGGGGCTAAGCCACCCCCTGGAAAGCCTGCATTCTGTATTGGAGTGCCTGGGATCAAGTCCTGCCTCTGCTTCTGATTCAGCTTCTTGCGACTGCACCTGGAAGGCAGCAAATGATCGCCCAGGGACTTGGGTTCCTGCCACCTACATGGGAAACCCGGATAGAGCTCCTGGCTCCTGGCTTCGGTCTGGCCCAGCTCCAGCTGTTGCAGCCATTTGGGAAGCTAACCGCTAGATGGACAATTCTTTCTCTCTCTCTCTCTCTCTCTCTCTCTCTCTCTCTCTCTCTCTGCCCCATCACTGTGCCTTTCAAATAAAGCAATAAACAAGTCAGAAAGTCATATCAGACTCCTGCTTCACACCATCTATAAAAATTAACTAAAAATAGATTAACACCCTAACTGTAAGAGCCAAACCTATAAAACGATCAGAAAGAAACAGGAGCAAATCTTCATGAGTTTGGATTTGGCAATGGATTCCTAGATACGGCACCTAAGGCACAAGCAACCAAAGCAAACATTTATAAATAGACTGCATCAAAGTTAAGAACTTTTTTGCTTCTGAGGATATTATCAAGAAAGCGAAAAGACAACATATGGAGTGGGAGAGCATATTTGCTAATCATACGTATGACAAAGCTTTAATATGCAGAATCTATAAAGAATTCCTGTAGCTCAACAACAGAAAGACAAACAAAACTATTAGAAAATGGGGAAAGAACTTGAATTTCCCCAAAGGAGACAGACAAATGGCCAGCCAGGAAGCAGGTGAAAAGACTTGTCGTTTGTTATTAGAGAAATGCAAGTGAAGCCCGCCATGAGACGCTTCTTACGGCTACTAGGGCAGCTGCGACAACAAGAGCAGACCACAGCCAATGCTGGGGTGGGTGTGCTATGCTGGGGGTGGGGGAGGGGAGATGGTGCAGCCGCCATGTAAAACAGTCTGGCGATGAAGGTGAAGAAGAAGGGACCCAGCGCAGGGAGACACCTGTCTACCCAGGCTCGCAGCAGCGTCCTCACTGTAGCTACAGCTCAAATGTCCAGAAACAACACAGTACGGGTACACACAGATCGCATTTTGTTACACACACACACACACACACACACACACACACACACTCTCTGGAATACTACCCATTAAAAGGCATGTGGTTCTGATAGTGGCAACTACGTAGCTGAGCCTTGAAAGCATCGTGGTGAGTGAAATAAGCCAGATGCTGGAGGACCAACATTGTGATTCCATTATATGAATTATCTAGAACTGGCGAATTCATAAAGACATAAAGTAGACTCCAGGTTACCAGTGGCTGGGCAGGGTGGGGCTGGGGGAGATGGGAGTTGCTACTTAATGGGCAGAGTTTCCCTTAGGAACAGTGATGCCTGCACATTGCTAATGCAATTAATGTCATTGAATTGTGCGTGGAAAAATAGTAAAAATGAGGCCAGCATTGTGGAGCGGCAGGTCAAGCTGCCCCTTGTGACACTGGCAGCCCGTATCAGCGTGCTGGTTTGAGTCCTGGCTGCTCCACTTCCAATCCAGACCCCTGCTTGTGCACCTAGGAAAACAGCAGATGATGACCCAAGGACTTGGGCCTCTGCCACCCACATGGGCGACTCAGATGGAGTTCCTGGCTCCTGGCTGTGGCCTGGCTCAGTCCCAGTTGTTGCAGCCATTTGGGGAGTGAACCAGTGGATGGAAGAGCTCTCTTTGTCTTTCAAATAAATGAATACATCTTCTTAAAACACTGTTATAAAAGCCATGGCATGCGTCTCAATTGTTTGGCAATATTTTATTAGCACCCACACCCCTTACGAAACTGTGCATTTTGGAGGAGCGGGAACTGGGCCTCCCGTCCAATAGCATTCGTCAGTTGAATGAATCAATGGATGAACTAATGGGAACTCTTTTTGATTAGTAGGGGCTGGCTAACTCACCTGCTTGGCTCAGTAGCAAAGAATCCTATTTTTGATTAACAATGTCTGCCACCTGGTGTAGGCAGGCCTACAGGTAGAAGATTTGTCCCAAATTTGCTATCCTGGAACTGGGCAGGGCCATGTCTCATGGTCCCCCGACAGAGGGCGCTAGGGGCTGCCTGGAAGCAGAGTCCTGCCTCTCCCCCGGCCCCTGGGAGGGAAGAGCAGTTGTCATCCCAGCTGGCCTTGCTAATCAATCACACAGCCGCGCCAAGCCCGTTAGGATTTGTCACTGAGCCACATCCAGGTGCGCCAGGCAGTAGCAGCCAGTCACATTTGCATCTCATCTACATGAAATTTGCATACGCCTCCACAGTCCCATCTCCTTGCAATTTTCAAGTTAAAATGTCATTACCGCTGCTGTGAAGCCTGTTATTTCATGATTTTGTTCTCCCTGGTTCTCTACCCCAACTCCTTCCTGCACCCTAGACCCTGAAGCCCAGGTGGCGGAAAAGAAATGGGGACTTGAGCTCCGGTTCTAGCACAGATCCACTTCCCTCTCCCGGCTGAGCATCCATCCTGTGCAAGTATTATGGGTAATTATCTCATATCATCGTTGCCACAGTATCCTAAGGGAGGGAGGTTGGTCTGATGGGGGAGGAGGAGGAGGGTCAGAGAGGTTAGGTAAGATGCCTGAGCTCACACAGCCCCCAAGTGGTTGAGCCGGGCTGCGGACCCAGAAGCCTCATTTCCAAGTGTGTCCTCTAAGCCTCTTTATGTAGACTTGAATTCCCCCAAAGGTACCCCATCTCTTGCAGTTCTCAAAAATATACGTGCCCCAGAACCTTCTGGCCCTAACCTGTGGTGGTACCCGAGTGTGTGACATTAGTGCTTCTAATACTCTGAGTTTAGCCATGACCGTCCAGCAGGGTGACCAGACATCTGCTTGCCCTGGGCAGCCTGGACAATGCCCACTGACCTTGAGTAATTCTTAATAGCTCCCCAATATATCACACTGTCCCCCTACCCATCTGATGCATTTCACTGATGATCCACGTCCCCCGGGCCTTGGAGGAGGAGGGGGTGGGCTCCAGGGCCCTCCTCCAGCTGGGGAACAAGGCAGGGGCTCGGAGGCTGAGGCCAGGGCAGCCTCAGGGCCGCTGGGAGGTGGGGATGAGTCATGGGGACGGCTGATCAGCTAATGTCTGCAGGGAAAGAGCTGCTGGCCCATCCTTGCCTCTCTGTTGTTCCCACGCATCCAGCTCACCCTGGGGAAAGAGCCGCGGGCAGGATGTCAGCCAGGGTCTGGCTGTGGCTCCCCACCCTCCACTCCTCCAGAAAGGAGTGTCCTGGCTCCCTTCTGGGCCTTGGTTTGCCCATGAGTTAAAATGGGGCAATTATCCTGGCTCTAACGTCCAGGCTGGCTGGAATGGGGTGCCTGCAGGTCTCGCCTGCCTCTGTACTTCCCAGGCACTTCTGCTGATACAGCCACACCCAGCTGGGGCTCTTGGGGGCTCAGGGGAGCAATGACCTGGGGCAGGATGCCCCGAGGTGCCTAGGCCAGGGCTGGGAATGTCCCAGCATCTCCCGCACCCCAAAGAAGGGCCATCGCGCAGTGTGCTTTTGAGAGCAAGTGTCAGGCTTGGGGTCTTGTCCAAGCTCAGCCATTTCTTCTCTGTAGAAGTCGCATCCCTGCTGTGGAAATGCAGAGGCAACAGGAGCCCGGCCCTCAGGCTGCTGTGAGGTCAAGTGAGGTGCTGCATGCAATGCCCAGCACCCGGAACTTGGCGAGTGGGCGGTGACAGGGGGATGCATAATGAGACCCGTTCAAGCGAGTCTGAGGAAGGAAGCAGGGACCCAGGTTAAAGCTCCAGCTCAGCGGGTTGAAGCCCTGGCCTGCGGCACTGGCATCCCATATAGTGCCAGTTCGAGTCCCAGCTGTTCCACTTCCGATCCAGCTCTCTGCTGCGGCCTGGGAAAGCGGTAGAAGATGAACCAAATCCTTGGGCTCCTGCATCCGTGTGGGAGACCTGGAGGAGGCTCCTGGCTCCTGGTGTCGGATCGGCCCAGCTCTGGGCTTTGTCGCCATTTGAGGAGTGAACCACAGGATGGAAGACTCTCTCTCTCTCTCTCTCTCTCTAACTCTGTCTTTCAAATAAATAAAATAAATATTAAAAAAAAAAAGTCCCAGCTCAGCCTCTTACTCTAAGACCCCACGCAAGCCCCTCCCCATGGCTGAGCACCCAGGTCCTCCTCCCAC